ATACTTACCAAAGAAACAACATTATTTGTGATAACACCTCCAAACAAACTTTTCACGGTATTTTTCTGTGAATGAATTAATAAATTCTGTCAAGGAAATTTGAGTAAATCCGTAAGTTTTCAAGCTCCCTCTTGCTCCCTCTTAATAACTCACCAGTTCTGGAGACATTTCTTCTATTTTTGTTATTAGGTCAGTGAAGAATTCAGTCATATCTTTCTGCTCTCCAGTGTTCAGTGGCTGCTTATCCATGGTATAGGTTTTACAGAAAGGTCTTGGATTGTATGCCTTACATTCACTTTCCTTTAGGTAAAAAATAAGCAAAACCAATCAACATAAATCCTTGTATTTTGAAGTTACACAGATATACACTGAATATATATATATATGAATGTCTGCTTAAAAAAGGACATACTTTTACATACAGTACCTCCATATGCGCATCAGGCAACACAGTTTTTTAAGTGCTTAAATGCTTCTGATGAAACATAAAGCAGTTTTTAACTAACAGATTATCATTATTATGACATTCATTATTAAAATATCATTAGTAAAATATCATTAAATAATGCTTAATAAAATTATTCATTAAAATAAAAGAACTTGGCTGAAGATGTGACACATCCAGTTTCTGCAAAATAAACTATGAGGAAAATCAGCCTGTATTTATGTATTTCTGGACATTACTGACATAAACCTTGATAGGTGCTTAATTCTCATTCAGACTTCTCTATGGTATAAAACTGTATCATCTAGTTCTCAACTGCATGTATTTAGCCAGAGAAAAGAATTTGCAGTATAAAGCAATTCTTTAGAAAACATCCCCCATTCCACTGCCTCGAACACTGGGAATGCAGAACTCATTTACAGCTGAAGGAACTTTGTTCTTGTAAACAAAGATATACATACAGTTGTCTTTTAAGGATGTGTGGCAAGACAGTGCTTCCTGTAAATATTACCTTTTTTGGAATAAAGTCCTTCTTCAAGATTTTAGTAATGGTAAATCTTCATATGTTTTTATGTTTCTGTATTATTTATGCCTATGTAAATACCTAGATTTATTTTTTCCTATGAGTCATGGCAGGCACTACATGCTGAAATTCCTTTCCTCTACTCTGTTACTGCATTCAAGGAGATGCCTGGCCAGGGAGCTCCTGACCGCTCAAGAGATTTAGCAATGTAAGCTCACAGGGTGTCCATACAAGGGACAGCCCTGATATCCAGCTACACCATGACTGTAACTAAAAAGCAGACTCGATTTTCATACTCGTAACTCACTTGTAATGAAGTCCCATAGCTATGGTAAGCACCCCGTGATCACCTGAGCATTAACGTGCTGGGGGTAAAGGTTTAAATAAACGAAAGACGCTCAGACTGTGGCACCTGAGCCTGATGTTCCCACGTATTCACTTTACAAACATTTTTTTAAGAACACAGTAGCAATCACTAACGTTTGAGAGCTGGTGCTTGCTCATTATAGTTGGTACCCAATATTAAACCCTATCTTAGATTAGGATTTACACTGCCTCTTCATGAAAACTATTAGGCCAATGTTTGCTTAACTGATTTGCTAAATAACAGCTTTAAAGTGGGTAAAAACTATTTCAGTTAACACGCTCATTTACAAAACTTAAGCACAATGGACTTAACCTGCCAAGAATTTACATATAGAATGGTAACTACATTTTTCTTGCCTTTTTTTTCTGAAAATATGATACTATTATAAAATATCCTCTGTCGCACCTACCATTAAGTATGTAAACATCTTCTGGAGTTCTAGTAGAGTGGTCTTGTGTTTCATATCTTCTGAATACTAAAAAAAATTCATAAAAGAAGACTTTATCTTTTTGCTTATTATTTTCAAAAACCAGTCCTGAAAATCATGAAAAAAAGAGAATCTTTTAAAATAAAAAACCCAAACAACTTTAATAGGGACAATTAAGAAAAATTATTGTGTACAAGAACACACAATACACTATTTTACACTTAAATATAAAGCACTACCTATTCATTTTTTGGCATGTCAACATTAAACCCAAGTCAAAAAAATAACTCTATTTTCTAAAAATTTACTGCAGCTACCAGTTTTGGGGAAGGTATTAATTACAAGACTGTAGTAATTTTGGAATAATTTTTTTTCAATTCATAGATGTTGTGGGAGTTCCGATCAACCCTCTATGTAATACATTTCACCTGCAGACCAGCAGCTTCCCTCTTATTTTATTTTTATTTATAAATGGTTAATACTGGATGAAGTTAAGTGACAACTACCAATAACTCAATGGTAACAAAAAGTGACCAGCTCACTGCCAGTTAGGGTGTTTCACATATCATATATGCCCTGTTGATGTCAGAGACCAAAATGAAGCTTTCTCTTTTACAATAAATGGCTAGAAGTAATAATAGTATATTTCTGGAAGTTAACCAATGTGTAATAATTTACAGGACTTGTTGTACTTCCAGTAGCATGACATAAGTGCTCTGGGACTTTATAAATGTTCAAGACGAATGACATTTATTCTAACAAAATGACAAATTAGCAGTTAAGAATCGACAGACAATTCACATAAAACCAAACTGAATAAATCTAGTCGATAGCAACAAATACGAGTTGGAGAACATGTTTTATTACAATGCCATCTTAAGAACCTACTGCATAACAAACATATTTTTTAAAAAAAAAAATCTCTTTGCTTTCGACATCAGGAAAAGAATCCAACTGAACAAAAACCAAACTAAAACCTGAAGAAATATTAAGACTTATTTCTTGATAAAGAAAAGTAAGTCTATACTTTATCAGCATTTGCACTGATTCTAAATTTAAACTTCTATCAACATCCACACAAGGAACACAAGAGCCCAAAGCATACCTTTGCAGTAAAGATTGCTTGTCTGGCCTCCGGTATCATGTACAGTTGCTGAATAGTGGATGCTAAGTAACATGTTGCTCCAAGATTAGTTAGACCCACAAATCTGCATTCAGCACGCACATCATCATGTGGCCAATAATCCCACTTGTAAGGTGCATGGGAAGCTGTAAAAAATATGAATCACACATGCAGAAAAAAAAAAATCAAAGTACAACGTACAAAAACATAAATGCAGTTAAAAGCTTTATGCTTACATTAATAAAATGCATCCTGTTTATGCAGTCTACATTTATAGACATGAGCCACACTGTACCTGCTTTTTAAGAAAATGCACTATAGGTACATCAGGGAAAATCACTTGATACGGCAGCAAGCCTTTCTAGATGCCACACTACTTTGGGCTGCAAGGGATTTGCTGTGCTCTCCAAAACATTACTCATGGCAAGTATCATCTCTTATGCTTGTTCTAGTGGTAGTATTACACATAGTAACGGTCTACCAGCCTGTATCTTCAAACTAAAGTTTGGTAAAACCGCATCATGTTTTCATCATCAAGAGCATCCATAAATTCTAGACATTGGTTGCCATGCATTTTTTATAAAGGTTTTTTTAATAATACAAGCCAATCATAGCTCTCAACACTTGCACTGCCTAAACCACTGAGAGCATACTTTTAACTGGTAACATACAACACTCACAAGCTCCCAAATGTACACCAGTCATTCCCCCAGCACAAAAATTACTCAGAATTTCTACTACCCATTCCCATGCACCCTTATGTTACACTGAAAGAAAGCAGAGTCTCTGCACCCGGAGACTCAAGTTAGGGAGCCTTCCCTTCACACAACAAACCACAGATTTGGTATCAGAGATAACACACACACGAAGTGAGACCTTTCTTTTCAGAAGAGAAGCTGGTTTCAGACTGACATCTACTACAAAGGATGCCAGGCTAGCAAAAGAACTTTCTGAGCAGTACAAAGCATGGATAGATGCTTATCAGAGATAAGACACAAAAGTGCAGTGAAATGAAGTGGATGGCTATACACAAGCTTGAATAAACTTGGGAACAGTTTTTATAGGAAGAGAAGAAATGGTTTTTACTGCACTTCAAAGCCATATGTACCAAAGAAACCTGCAATCTACAAGAAAAATAGGAGTCAGCAAGAAGCAAACTGCCTAGAGAATCAGATTGAAAAGACATTTTCTTTTCCTGCAAGTTTTTTGTTCCTCTATATTTCATACCTGATGCACTACTTACGCAGCATGGCCCTAGACAAGGTAGGCAAGCCTGACAGACTCTTAATAAGCCTTATTCTGATATGGCTGCCAAGAACTCAGAAGAATAGGAAAGTTCTCCTCATCTGCCAGTCAAGAAGATGGTAACCAGACTAGATAAACCATTTGTAAGTGATTAGTACTGCTTCTACACACCGACAGGCTGCTGCTTCTAGCATCCCACGCAGGAGAATGGAACAGGGAATTAATCATTTGAGCTGCAGAGGCAACTAGATGACACACGCACTAAATTATGGAGGAACTAATCCAGTGTCCAAAGAAATTCACTGCAGCCTATCTTCCTTGGTATGCAAGAAGTTTGACACAGAAACTTGCGATGCATCTAGCTTCGCTATTCATCCCCAAGGATATCACTCTCCAAAAAGGTAGAGTGTCCTACAAATAATTCAGCACCTCCATTGAAGTATATGTTCAGATATAGAGAAAAAAAGTGAAAAAATAGTCTGGATTTATTTTATAATCCACAAAAGCTATGTGGGTTCAAGATTTAAATTTTAAAACCTTAATTATTTTGTCAAAAGATTAAAGGCTCATTAACAATTCTTCTTAATTCATACTACCAGCTATAAATCAGGAAACTATTTGGCATCCTCTGAACAGATCCTCACATCTTCAGAGACCAGACCCACAAGATGTTCTGTTGCACAAGTAATTGTTGTAATCTTCATTTTGGCATCGGCATCAAAACAACTATTAGCCCTGCAGCTTCAAGTAGGGAAGGAAAGACTTTTAATTCTCCTGTTTCAACAAATCTCAGTAGCGTGACCTCATGTTACCTCGTTACATTGGGCGGATCAGCCAGTTGAAACAAAGCTCTCCTCTACCTTTAACCTCCTAAAGAAAGCAATTAGCATGGCAGAAGAGCACAAAATTCCCTCCCTTAACTGAAATCCTTACATTGCAACATCTTAATTCACTGCTCCTGATGTAAGGATTCAGCATCTATCACTCTGCTTATAGCTCATCAAGTTGTAATTACAAAGAAATCAGATGACTTCTTTATACTTCATGAGAGCTGTTGGGAATATCTTCCTCCTACCTCAATCTGACAAAGAGCTTTCAGAAATTTGACAAGGAATTTCTCAGGAAGATCTTTTCCCCACCGTGGGATTTGGAAGCAACTGTCTTCATTTTCATAATAAGAGCTCTCCTTCCATATGGATCTTAACTAGAAAGCTCAATTTGAGCCTCATTTGTTTATCTTCTTTATTTCTCACTGTCAATACAGAAATCAGCCTTTTCTCAGGAAGAGACAGGGAAACTGTAACCAAACTTGCAATATTCACATTCTGTTTTAAGCAAAATAAAACTTAATTTCTCCCTCTTCAAATGACCGTGCATTATTTCTCTATATTCCACCTTCTGATCATGCTTCAGACACTATCTTGAACTTGCCAGAAAGCAAAGCAGCTGGTCTTGTTTCCCTCCTTTGAACTGAATGTTTTTATTAGTCTTGGTCTTTAAAGAAAGCAAAGCTCCAAAACACTGCAAGAAATCTGATGAACAACAGAGGGTATCTAAAGCCCCTCTTTAGTAAGATCAGAATCTGCATTGTTAGTCCTCCCTGTTGAGAAAAGCAAGGAGAAAAGTCAGCTGACATCAGCTACTTAGCAGTTCATCTCCTATGGTTAGCACTTGCTGAAAATGCATGAAGGCATCCCTATGTCTTCAGTGAAAAACACTCTATCTGTGAAGTAGGAAAAAAGCACACAAGTCCGTTCCCTTCTTCCATCCATCAATGAAGGGAGCTGTTAGTGGAAACTTTAGAGAAAAATGCTGCTGCAGTTAAAACTTTACTACGACTAGTTTACATTATTCATACTAGCACAAGTCTGCAGAACAGTATACAGTTGTACATTTTAATATGACTGCTAGAACAGAGTCTTGGTAATATCATTTTTAACTAGAACCCTAATTTTTTTTTGTCCCAAAGAAAATGTACTAGAAACCCTTAACAAGGTGTTTTCTTTTTTAAAATCTTCCTTTATTTTCCTGTATTAAATTAACATCATCTCTTAAGAACATTCTGCCTTCAATCAGTTAGGAGTGCAAGAAAAAATGGTGGAATAGCAGAGACAGCAATTGGTGAGACTAGAGGACAACAACTGTACAAGTGGCAGGATCAAAAATTTCTCCAATGAACAGCAAAACTAGAATATTAGAAACAAAGACAGGATGGAAATTGATAATATTTTCCTTACTGTTTCTCCTAAGAAGAACAGGAGAGACAGGCTGAAGATTTTTAAAGACTAGTAAGATTATAGAGATAAGCAAACTGGAAAAATCCAGTTTTAAGAATCTTTGGATCATATTAATGGAGTAACAAGACTTTAAACAAATGAGGTATCATAAATCCTGTGTCAGCTGCACATCACAAAGAGAGAATGGCACTCTGCCAGCTATAATAAAATTAACTTTCATGAAACTGAGACAAAAGGAATATGGAGCAGGAGCACAGATCAGATGGCTTTGGAGAACTCAGGAAGGAACAACCTAGAGAAGAGTATTTGAAAGAAAGTAACAACTGTGGTAAATGTTATGGAAAACTTCAGCACCTAGGAATTACTGCGATTTGGAGTGAGAAAAATACTGTAAAAAATTAAAGATTGCACCTGGAAAGATACAGACCACCTCAGCAGGAGAAGATATACTCACAGCTAACAGAAATATCCAATATTTTTGTAAAACACATTCTTCATATTATTTTCCCTGAACATGGGAGACTTTGGAGGCTTTTTCGAAGGCCTCAGGCATGTGAGTACGGAACACAAAACATTATTACGATTGGATTTCTCTTCTGATTCCTGAATTGTAAGGCACTAAATCAATTCCATAGATTAGAATAAGTTACAGATACTCAGGTTACAGGAATTTAAACTGGATATGTGAAAGGAAATCTATCAAGCTAAAAATGCATAATGAGAATTTTCAAATCACAGAGAAAATACTAACTAACTTCAAATTTTGGTAATTTACATATTATACATAGGAATCGAGTTCCCAAAACACAGGAAACATGAAAGCTAAGAGGCATAACAAAATTGTATTAGCACTGTAGACATCTGGGTACAGACTGGAAGTCAACTACAAAAACATTAGAGACTCTGAAAACATGACAGTGCTGTCAACAGCCAATATATCTACATTACCTCAGAGTGGTTTATATACTTTGGGTTATGCATAAACATACCATGTTTCTTTAGGTTAGAAAGGGAAAACAGAAATTAAAATACAGGACAAGCCAACGAAACATGTAAAATCCACTCTAACAATGTTATCTATGTGTCAGTGTCATTTAACAGGACCACATATTTTAAGTAATCTGTATTTACGAACAGATGACCTGAAAATTATACAAGGGATTAAATCCACTTATTTGCTAGGTGAGCAAAAGATGCCTAGATCTGCTCTGTGACACTACTGTAAGTGATGCTGGACAAGCAGTAGAGCTACAAAGTGGAATTTTAAGAGCAGCGTTAGTGGCAACAACTTTTGGAAACTGGGACTATTCAGTTTAAGTAAAAATATTCTGTGTCAACTTTGCACTTCCCTGTTTCTACCTATGCATTCTTAATAGATCATTATTTTTAGAAAACCATTAAATGCAGACCCTTCTGATGTATTTCAGGAGGAAACAGAAACACGACGATTGCAGTACTGTTCACAGTGGTAGCTAGCCATCCCCCTCATAAACACAGTCTTCAAAATGGGAGTCCATGTTACTAGTACACTCCTATTTTCTTTACTGAACTTTATAAATCCGAAAATTCAAACCAAAACTAAAATGAACAGAAAATGCAAATGGACTAGTTGTCCACAAAATACTCCGAAACTATATATGAATAAAGGTTCTTACACTGCATATGTTGTGCCATAACCCAGTTGTGGAGCAGCCTGTAGTTTTCCACGGACCCCTTTACCATTTCTACCAACAAGTCATAAGCAGCAGCCCTTGAAGAATGTGACTTGCATTTTGGCTGTTGTCTATCTTTCAAACTTGGCAGCAAGAACAGAAGATTGAAGATATCTCTCAGAAACTCCTGTAAAACAGTTCAATCAGTACATTTAGCAGTTTGAACATATTCTTAAAAGACAATAGTCACGTGTTAACAATCTTCTAGAAACTTTCTATAAGCTTTCTAGACCTCTTATTTACAGAACTTTCTGACTTGTATACAAGTTACGAATTACAAATTTCAACCACTTACTTTATACTACATAAAGTGCACTGTAACCATATTATAGCCTAAAAGAAACATGTCCACTGGAAAAGAATGAGAAATTAAGCTCGATTCATGACTGATCATTTAATTTGACAAACCACACACACATATTTTTAGTAACTTTAAAACTAGTTTCTCCTAGTGAAAGACAGCACATAACCTTAATCACTCTACTTGTTTGAGTTTTATGAAATACTAATCAATCTTAAAACACACACTAAATTATGTACCATGTATACTCCAAGTGTGTTTTGGTATTGTTTCACGTTTGGAATATTAACTGAACTATAAAAGGCACAAAGCATAGCTGTACCAAGTCAGGATGTCTTTGGATGATAAATACATATTATACACTGTTATTTATCTTTACTGGTCTTCTCCTGGCCAATATAGTTAAACAAAGTTCTTCCAGATTCCTCCACACTTTGGAGAAAGAAAATGCATAAAACTAAAAATAAATACATACCTGGTTTTTTGGTAGTTAGGCTGTATCAGGAGTGCTTGTGAAGCAGCAGTCCCATTCCTTTTCAATCCTAACCATACTTACCAGGTGTAGATGGTTACACCTCATCAGCAGACCAGCTGCATCTACTAAGTGGAGTTTTAGGCTGTGCTGCAGCCTTTTTCAAACAGGTGTTTTAACACACCAGCCACCTTAAGGTGTCCCAGACTAGAAAAGCAGTAACTTCAGAGATCTGCATCTATCTTTTTCTGTTTAACATTCTCAATCTTGTATTTGTGCTGATTGAATTCTGACATGTTGGAGCAGGGAAGACAAAGAACACCATAGATGATTTTGTTCAGAGGCTAAATGCAAACCCCTAATCTTGTTAAAAATACGTCTTTACCATCAAAGTGGCCTTAAGTTATACCTTCCTAGTGCAGATGTGTTAGCCAGTATTATGTTAGAAATGTATTTTTGCCAACTTAGTGTAGAATAAGGTAGGTAGTGATTATCTACAAAAGACATCAAAGAAGGCAGATTGAGTATCCATTACTGTCACAAAATGTGACCTTTAAAGTTTGACAATATTTGCCAAACAATAAGTTTGTTTACTTAGTAAGAGAAGGAATCTGTAGGGAAGAAAAGGCACAGCCGAGCATCAGAATCCTCTGGGCAAGTCTAAACTATTTTCAGTATTTGCCAGTGTATTTTGCTGGATATTTTTTCACCAGCATTTGCTGAGAGAGAAGCATGCGGTTTTACAATCCTGTTCTATTACTTGGAACACAACACAAAACTCTTCACTAATGCACTTTGTAATGTGCAGTTAATAAGTGTTCTTAACAGTACACAGAGTTAAAAAAAATTAATACTACATCATGACTTAGTCTCTGAAAAGGTACTAAGTGCGTGTCTTTCAGCAGAGCTAATTTCTTTTTGAGGAGTTTGTTGTGGATATTGCTCCATTCACATTCATCCTTTCTTCAAATCAAATTTCTGTCCTCCCTGTGATATACTACATACATCCAACATACTTTAAGATCCTGTATAGTATCACTCCTCTCTACTTAAGCTTCCACTTCCTTTTCTTCTTATACTTTTCATGTATCCAAGCTACATAAATCTGATCTTTGCACACCTCTTCTGTTTTAATTTTTACATCATCCTCCACACTGCACTCTGTGAATTGAATTCCTGCTCTAATTTAATCTGCAAGTTCTCCATACTTAAAATACACTTATTCCAGGAGAATTACATAGTAGTAGCCTTTTAAAATGCTGTCAGCAATGTACCTTTATGTTAGGTAGGCACAATGTGGACACTATTAAAACTGTTGGACAGTAAAATTACCTTCAGGGCCATTTTATGATAACAGAGTAACAGACAGGATATATCCAACATAATTGGATACAGGGGACCATTTTCCTGGTGAAACCTCACTGAAGGTCCAATCATAAGCTCAGTACAATCTATAGAAAAAAATCCATCAGTTTAAGTCAGCTTTTACACCAGGCGAAAACGTCCGTTTACGTCAGTTTTTACACCACGAATTTTCATTTTCTTTTAGACAATGAGGCCCCAAAACACAAAGTAGGAATTTTTTTAGCAGCTTCCCCTGCCTCGCCACTCTCCTATGGTACAAGCACAGGTGGAATGTAATATTCTTCTAACAGGTTGTCTGCCACTGTGCAGATGTAGAGCTTAAAAGCTACTTTTAGATCACAATTGTCCCAAGATATGGTCAAAAAGCAGCTGTTTTCAATGATTTTTAAACCAGTTAATGCTGATCAATACTAAAAACATTTAAAGATAATAAATGAAAATAAATAAAATTTCTAGGGTGTAAGAACTCTATCCTGAAATTAAATACGGCTAGATAAGGAAAGGACTGCACGTGCTACTTAATAAAGGAAAGAGATGTCTGTTTTTATCCATCATCCTAAGGCTAGAACTATGACATACTCTCATATATCGAGCCCTGCAATCAAAATAGTGGAAAAAAGGTGAAACACAGAAAGTACAGTAACAAGAGATGACACTATTTTGATTTCTTTGCAGTTTTTCATTGCCTTTTTCTTACCTGGCCTTCGCGAGAAAATTTAAAGGGTGGTTTGTGCTTAATAACACTTGTTGCAAGACGAAGCAGTCCTGTAAGTCCATCGTCTTCTATATTACCATCTTGATGGTCAAGGATTTCTCTGCTATAAGTACACATACATACAGAAGAAATGTTAAAACTCTGTTCCACTAACAATAAATATAATGCAACTTGCAAGTGAAATTACTGTTGGCAAACCTTACCTCCGAATGCAGTCAGCAAGATGTCTTGCTAGTGCATCTAAATCAAGCAGCGTGGTCTGATTAAAAACAAAGAAAATGGAATATAAATGGAAAATAATTATGCACTTCATGATCTACAACTTATAAGCCTAGTCTGAAACTATGGTTATGCTTTTGCATGAAATTTTGTTATTACACATAGAAAAACAGGGATGATTAAAACTCATCTTTCAAACATGCTTGCAACAGTATTTTAATACATTTTTATAAACGCAATAAAACTGTTTTTAAAAATCAATGCTGTACAGCTCAAATGAAGTAACATTTATTCTTTCAATTCCAGATCCCACAAATATACTATATCTACCATAGTGGAAAAAAATGGAATAGTACTATTTTAAAGAGAAGTGTTTAGCTGTTATTTCTCACAGGAGCACAGGTTGTGGTCAGAAGGTTGAAAACTCCAATTAGCATTTCTCGCTTGAGTAGCATGCAGAAGTAGCAGGCACAACTGTAGCCTAGCTAAGAGATTCAATGAACAAAACAGACATGGAAGGAAACCGAGCAGAGGAATCATGGTGGCGTGTGGGGGGAAATGTTTGCCTCTACTAGGAACATCCAGAGTTAGGAGAGGACAAGACTTTTCCATTCTGGCGAAACCAGGATTAAGGCTTTATCTTCCTTCCCTTCCCACACTCCTGCCACAACAATGAGAATGAATTAGAGAGATCTATGTAGGGCCACCAGCCATAAGCAGTTGCAGAGTCTGCCCAAAAGGTAACTTTAACCCTTTAGAGAAGTTTCAAAAGCTCTAAGTTTTCTAACCTGTGCTACAGGTTCTAACAGCTGACCTAACAGCAAAGTGGCTGTTAACTGAAATTTTTTCCTCTTTCAGCTTTAGTCAAATATTTGATTAGCTCCTCCTTAGACAGCATTGAAATTATCAACAGTGAATCTCATAGATAATTGCAGTATTCTCAATGTCTGTCACCTTCACCTAAGCTCACTCTCCTTGTGTATTATACCCATTTCCCCCTTTGACTCTACAGGTTCAGTATCTGAAGCTTCCTTTGACCAAGAGCTACTAAATACACATCAGAGAGTAAGGAAAGGTGGGAAATGGGAAAGGTCCAAGAGCTGTTCACAGCAGTTCACCATATCTTAAGTAAAAATGTCTCACACTGATGTAAAAGTGGTTTGAATACCCAAATTTAAAAAAGCAAACATTCATACGAACGCAAAGCAAAACCTACTTGACTTGCATCTTTGACATGTATGTTATCAATCAGTTTGCACAGCAGCCAAAAATATTCCTTACAACCCGGTCGCAGCACTGTTTCTTCTTCATAATCCTCTATCTGTGAAAAGAAATTGCTTTTGTTCTGAAGTACATCAGACAAAATAACTGTGTGTTAAAAAAATGTAGTCAACACAGTAACCATTACAAGAATATTAGTTTCTTCAAGCCCTTATTTAAGACAAGCCAAGTACAAGAACAATGTATTTTAGAATGGTAACAGTGTGTGTTCTATTTTAGTTCTGCAATATTTATTAATTTTCTTGGAAGACTGTCAGGATTATTTGCTAGACCCTTAGAAAAATTTAGAATACTATTGACTCCATCCTACCCACTGCAAATTGCAAAAATTTTCAGTATTAGCCTGCACAAAACAAGAGAAACTGGCTGAATTCAGCATTAGTTAGTACAATTCTAATTTCAAACTGTTCTGAAAATGAGTCAAATAATGCAAAATCTTCTGTAGATTGTTTTTATTTAACTTTTTTTTTTTAATATCAACAGAGGTTAAAGTGAAAGCAGACTTAAACTGAACGAACTGCTCTCACCTGAAATCAAATGTCATACAGGGTCACAAGAGTAACTGCCTGACAGACCCAAAATCCAGGTTCATATTTCACTGCCATACAAGTCCATACAAGTGCTCTCCTTCAGATCTAACAACATCAGCTGAAGTCGGCACAGCCTCCCCTGATAGGCATTGCTAGGTCTACAATCCCTAATTGACTTTGGGCAAAACCAACCAGGTTAGTTCAAACCATCTCCGTTAACCTGCATATATTAACAGCAAGAACTCCTCCTCAAGTAGCTTTGACAGCGTCCACAGAATCTCTTACTATTTAGTAGAGCTGTGAGGACACTAACACTCCCAACAGAAAAACAGCAGCAATTGGCTGGGGAACAATAACATTCAGCCACAACAACAGAGGGTACCTATGTACACATAAAACAACATACTGATTCAGTTATCAATTTATCTACATTTAAAAGGGAAATCAAGGCATATTTTGAAAACACAACTGTTATTCCCTAACAGTGTGTTATGCGGACACTAAAATTCCAGAACAAGAGCACTTCCTAAATGCTATTCTGCATTTCTCCAAGCACAAGTAAGCTCTAAATTACTGTAGCGTCACAACTCTAACTACCTTTAAGAAGTTTCTGGAAGCATCTAAACTAAAAGTCTTAATCTCAGTGTATCAGAAACAGTGTGTCATACATAATGAAAACGTGCTATCATTTTTTCTTTTCATATTAACAAAAGTAAATTTAAATAGATCTTCGATAAAGTCTTGTAATTTCTTAAATCCTTACTCGGATTGGTTTCAGAGCCTGAGCATCAGGAAGAAATTTTAATAACGTTGAGGCAGCCAGCAGCAGAAAGGATCGGTTAATTGAGTCTCCCCCATCCAGACCAGAAAGAGATAACTTGTATAAACCATTGCAAGATTCATGGCGAACGGCAGTCTTTATGAAAAATAAAAGAATTAAATGATTACACACATTATTTAGAAGATTATTTTCTTTTGTTGACTTTTCTTTCATATGTGCATAATAAGTTCCTCTCGTAATATCTATCAGGTTATCAAGGCAGAGTTTGTCTTTCTAAAAACATGTATTACAAATAACATACATTTAAATTACTCACAGAATGATACTGTTCTAACAAAAAAGCTGCCCCTTGTCTCTTGAGTTACCTATCTTCTACAGTAAAGATTACAGCCAGTTACTAAAATAGAAAATATCACATTGGGGCAAATTAGGGAAACCTTTGAGATGCCTGAACTTACACTTACTCATTCCTAACTAGATGGTTAATTTGTTTAATTTCACTAGAAGAATTATTTTCTTCTTTCTTTTATTCTTTTCTTAAGAAAAATATCGACAGACTATCTCTAATCCAGCTTTGGAAGTTTGCGTTCTTTCTTTTCCAGGGTTTTTTAATGGAGTCAGCATGTAAGTTTTTTCTGTGCTTGAGTAATAAACCAACAGGTAATAATTATCACATCATGTCCATATTGCACCTTTAAGCAATCACTAATAAATACACAAATTTTCCACTATGCATATCTTTATGCAGTTTTCAAGCTTTTCTTACATCAGAAAAAATTACTTAAAACTAGGCAAAGATTTGGTAACGACATTTTTATATCGACTCTCATTCACCTTGTTTTGTAATAAAAAGTAGAGCTGAAAAAAAATATAATGGAGGAAATGTATTTAGACTAATTCAGCGTAGAGGGCATCACCCAGAAATGTCAACAAATTACAATGAAAAAATGACCTTCAAACAGAAACCAAGAACAAAGACAAGAGTTTATAAATTGGTTTGCAATCAACCACAAATATGCCATCTTACATGGTATTTTAACTGCAACTGATTACTTCTTAAACAGGATTGCAAGTAACTCAGTCAGATGCTGCCTACTTTTAGCAGGAAACAACATGTTTTGAATTTAATGGTAGCTTGAAACCAAAGTTAATCTTGTTCCATATTATGCACTAATTAGTAATGCAATAACCTCTCTCCTTTCTCATACCTCTGGAATAAGAAGGGTAAGTTTCTTTAGCCAGTCTTGCAAATGATCACTGTCCGCGAGACTGGATTTCACCAGGGAACAGCAGTGAGCCCAACTCACCAGGAGCCACATTGAATAATGAGTTACTGGAAGAAAATGAGGTAAGAGTAAATCACGCTGTAACTTACATAATAGGCTTTTTAGGTTGAAGAGTTGCATACTTCCAGCACATATGACATTTATTTCAGTCATACTAATGTACAAGACTAAATCCTTACCAGCACGTAAGATACGACCTAAACTCAGAATTTTATCAATATGCTTACTAAATATTGACCATTGTACTACTGATGACAATTACGTTAGATTACTTTAAGTGTTAACAATCTCTGGCACAATCCTTTCCTGCATTTCTACTTCTTAAGCAGTGAGCTGGTACTTTGCTAATGGGTTGCATCATGTCTTAACATGAACATTCCCCTGGACAAACTAGCGTATCTGTTCCTTCCTTCTTAACAGCTGAAAGTAAGACTTCAGTAAGTGAGACATAGCGTATACTGAGAATTTGGGTTCATAGACATTAACAACTGCAGGGCAGAACAAAGTGGAAAAACTGAAGACAACGTATAAGCCTAGGAGGACATACCTGTATTTATGCATGCCTACACTGTACTTTTGACAATTACTTTGATAAAGACTTAATCTGACACAGGTCATTTAGATCTTTTCTAAGAAACCTCCACAAGAGGGATAGATGGGGGAGCTCCAAGAAATTCTGGGCCCAGAATTATTTCTGTAAACCAGAATAAAGGTGGCTATTGGAGACTTGTATTATGGTATTACGTATGCTGCTCTTTTGAAGATAAGAATACAGCTGGTTCTCCTACCATGAAGAGCTCTTCTGGAGATGAAGGCTACTACAGTACAAAATTTCAATTCATATAAAACAATTTCCAGAGAAGGAAAGCCACGCAAGTCCTGGGACGTCTCTGTGTACTCCCACCTAAGATTATAACAGCCCTCACTAGCAAGGAATAGCATTTTATAGTAGCATACTTTTATAGCATACTAATAGTGGAACAAATCAAACACATAACTTGTTATCTTCAACATGTTTTCACTACTATTAGTTCATAACATATAGCTATTTTGCAGCACTAACCTTCATGTCTTGATCTGTGATCAGACTGAGCTTTCAACACCCTAAACAGGAAGATAAAGCCATTTGAACTTTATCACAGAATTTAACAGATTATCACTTAGAAATACAAGTACACACAAGTAACACCACAGTTACTCTTAAGCACTCACTAAGAAAACTAACATTTTAATCTTAAAAGGATTCATTTCTTGCAGTATTCAATATTAGCAACAATAAAAAAAACTATGAAAATCTTCAAGTCACCCCCTTAAAGCTTTACTGACTACAAGACAAAAAGCCAAGAAAAAAATACCCACAACCCCTTTATTTTATCAAAAAAAGAGATAATGCAAAACAGAACTAAGAACTGACCCATACAGAGGAAAGCTAGTACCCTTCATAAAGAACCACACTTTGAACAAACATTTGCAAACTTTAGACAAATTTTACATGTTTGTATTTATTTACTTACATTTTTATGAATTGCATTAAAAGGTTATGAAACCAAAACCATACCATACATATTTAAAATATTCCTGCAACTCAGCTAGAGGTTAAAGTTAGGCACACTTGCAGACTTGACTGGAAATGCTCTGAATGTCCTTAACAATCTTTTAAAAATACGGTAAAACACACTATCCATTACTCGGGATCAAGTAATTCTACATCATCAAGTGCAGTAAAATGCCTGACGTCCCCACCATCAGTCTGACTGTCACGATGCAGTCTTACACGGAATTGCTTTTCTCAGGACAAAAGACAAAAAGGACAAAAATCTCTAATAACCTATTTCTGAAGGTAAAATTCTGCCTTCAGTACATGCACACTTGCTAAAACAGTAAGGGTAATTTCAGCAGTAATAAGCTAATATTATTAGGATGGGAAAAATAAGTCAAAAGTGGCAGGTGACTAAGCAACTTAAAACGAACTTATTTTAATTTCTCCTTTAAATTGCCTTAAAATTGAAAATGCTAATTGCTACAGAGCGAACAAAGCAACAGTTTTGGCAGGAGAATTCATATATATCATATATAATTTGTTGCTCTATGTCTTACACCCTGACCATTAAGAGTTCTCGCCACTCTCCTCTCTCTCACTCCTCCTATAAGGGTAGGATAACAACCAGAAGAGGTGACTAAGAGAAGCAAGCCTAATGCCTATAGACTTAAATTTCTCATATGGGTGTTAATGGGGACTACAACTGAAAGAGCTATTTACTTTATTTAAAGCAGCAATGAAAATGTGCACACTTGATTAGCTTTATTACAAAAATAAAAAGATATTGTACCTAGGTGCCAAGTTGTCATATGTATAAGCAACTGACATAAGTCGCTGAATCAAACTGGTTCCCTGGACAAGTACAAGAAACACCTTTAAAAATTGAAGTCAAAAGAAAAAAAAAAAACAGTTAATATAACAACAAGCTTTTTGATGTTTTTAAATTATACACACTGTGTGAATCTAAAACAAACCCACCTGTGTAGAGGGAGGAAGAGCAAAAGACAAATCATAGCATCTCCATAGTTAAAACTTACATTGGTTTTTTATTAAAGCAGATCTGAAATCCTGCATTTCATTGACTAAGTCTAGGTGCTAAAATCTCATTCTATTTCTCTAAGAAAGACAATTTAACTGAATAGAAAAATCAACCATTTATTCAATCCTTTTAGTAAAAACATAATTTTTTTAAAAAAGCATAGACTATTCACTTCCTTTTAAAAATCTTGGGCTTGAGGAGACAGGGTTGAGGATGAGGTTGGATATGTAAATTTCACCCATCTCTGTGATCAACACATTTTATTGACTATACATTCACTTCAATTATTCATCTTTAGAGAACCTGACAGGCTATACAGAATTTTCAAATCAAAGTCTGAAGAAAATCTTTAAAAATATTTAGATAGCAAATCCACTGCAATCAAAAATATTCATCAATTGACAATTAAAAATTTAAATCCACTTATAGAAAATAGTCGCAGCCAATGTTAACAGTTAAGGTCTTTCCATGTATAACAATGACAAATAGGAAGGTTTGGCTCCTGCTCACAGTTCAGACTAAAACTTTCTGGCAATCACAGCTGGTCCTGTGCCAAGAGCAATCAATTTACAGTGAATGTACCTCTGACGCAAAAATACTACATTTGCTTGGTCTACATTAGGAAATTAGCATGCAGGAATCTGGTAGGAAGGTTTACAGGTTTAGGTAAGTTTACACTCACCCAGATATCCTTAGTAGAATAAGTTATTTTAGTGTTTACTAAAGGAATCTAAAATGGATTTAGTGATGATGGGGACAGCCCATATAACAGGTTACCATAAAAAGAGGGTAACTAATTTGAAAACAAAATCTAAGAAACAGGGATAAAGCACTGGAATTCTGAATTCCCAATTCACATGCTCACAAACTGCAGAAAAACTTTTTGGCTCCAGCTTTTAAAATTGCCAGGTTTAAAGCAATTAAAATACTTTTAGAAGAGAATAGCATGTAGGATATAGATTAACACTAGTAACTTATCCACTACATTATTTTATTACCAAAATAAAGGCTTCACACAACAAAGGAGTCATTTTTCTAAAGTTCACAAAATGAACACACTGTTTATCTCTTACCTCTGTTAAACGAGGTATATGAAGGCCCTTCGTATGGTCACTTGCAGTCTTCCTTGATTTGCCTGGCCACGTTCTTTTTCTGTGACTCTCCGCTACACCCGACCAGGCAAAGACATCATGGTAAGCTAAATCCAGATCTGAAGGATCAACCGCGAACTGGCAGATCAGCTTCAGCAAGCAAGCAAGACAGTCTAGCTGCCACTGGGAATAAGAAGAAAATCAAATTCTATTTTTTCAGGGACTTAGTTGAGAAATAATTCTACACCTACTATGGAATTTGAAATATAAAGCTTAAGTAAGATATAAACAGCCAGAACTAACTGTCAAAACCTCACCAGAATAGACACTGAAGAGCAAGGGTATTAAAAAAAGCTTACAATGAAAACATTTTCATCATCTAGTCTATTAACAGGTGCATACAAGACATTCTATTATTCAGTGCATGAAATAACACAGAGGAAATAGTACAGGAGTTAAGCTCAACAGGTAAGAGCCTTCCCTGCATTGTACTCAACCATAGCACCGGGTATAGAGGACTGTACACAGAAGTGCTCTCAGGCTGAATATATTTAACCATGCAGAGACAATACATACTAGTTTAAAAATACCATTTTGTATTGCAACATCTCTTGTTTGATGAAAACCACCGATTCATTTTGTAACTCTTGAGATCAATTTTCATGGCTCTCAGCTGTGTGGCTACGACCAAACACAGCACCTGCTCAGGTCCACGAGCGGAAGGTGCATTATAAGGGTAAAATTAACAAAAAAGAGCACCATGTCACAGCAACACATGAAGCATGCCAGCTATCTAGTACCCACACATGCGTAAGTCAGGACTCAGTTGGAGAATCTGTTACTATTTTCACAGTGTTGTGCATACTTTCTGGGCAGATCAACAAGGGCAATCACACAAACTTTTGTTTATAAACTGGGTAGAGAGAATGACAATTTGTTTCTAATATTGAAATAATTTTAGAACAAATACACCAACATCAGTTAAAAACTATCAAATTTTTAATAAAAAGTAGAGCTGCCTTCTTTTTAGCATTTCAGTAACTGTCATCAGTTTTATACATATATGTGTATGCTTGTTAATTTACATCTTTTTATGTACATATGACTCAGAGCTTGAGATATTTCAAATTTTTTTAATCAAATGCCATAGAATTGAAAATAAAAGAGAAAAATTAACTAATTAAAAAAGCGTTCATTATGGTATGAATTTAGCTCAAACGAGTAACAGAATAATGATGAATAAGAATGACTAATAATAATAATGTTCATTATTGAAAAGTGTCTTTATTAACACCATAGCCACAATACTACCAGTTTCGTTTCAATGCCAACAAGGGGAAATGGTATTTCTTGGCCTCTTCACATGGACAGATAATTAACAGATTATTGCTTTTAAAACAGGCTATAATAAAAGTTTCCAAATAACAACCTTCCCCAAAACAAGCAGAAAAAAGGCAAAAATGAAGTACCAACATCTTGTTTGGCAAATTTTGACATTTTTAAAGAACTGTGATATGGAATAGTATTATCAATGCAGTTACAATCACTGCTAAGATGGAACCTAGTTTCTCTAAGACGTTCCCATGATCTACACTTTTATGTTCTACAAACTATGATTTTTTTAAGACTGGACAAAAAATTAAACCAAAAATACAGATAAAAATACCAAGGGCGTTTTTAAAATACATAAAAGCAGAAGTATGAAGATTTTTTTAAAAGAAAATAAATTATTCCAGGAATATAAAATATTCAAGGAAAAAAGATGCTATTGCATAGACTCTGGTGATTTCAACTACAGAATTCACTTATTTCACTTACTACAGAAAAGTAACTATAACAAAGCCTGAAAGTAATGAAAGTCTTTACAACTGCAGCTATGTTATTCTGGAGCAAAAGGGTGAATGAACACCTACCACTGTCCATGATTCCTGTTCTTTAGGCTCCAAGATTCCAGAATTGAAAATTTCTAGTAACTGTTGGAGCCCTCCAGCAGCAACAAACTGTAAGTATATTATGGAACCAAAGTGAGAAAATGCAAATACATAAATATCACTAAGTTCAGATAGATACCAATCAAAGCTTTATAAATAATAAAAATATTACGAACTATTCAGCTGGATATTTTATGAAAAATAAAAGAAACAGTTGTACACAACTATGACAAATTTACAGGCCTGATGACACAGAAAAACTTTAAAACGTTGTACCTAAATTTGAGATCAAAAACTCCAAGATAGATAATGTTTTATATGGGTTTTTGTTTTATAACTTTTTTCAAAAACTATATTAGGTATCACAGAATACTGTAGGAAAATCAAACCTTGCAGCTCCATGTGTTTTTACTATTTTCTATTTGATCTTCACTTGAATCATCTGAGTCTGGGTAAAGATCGCTATAACTTCCCTAAAGATAAACAAGAACAATTCATTGTAAACACAGTTAAAGAATTAAAATACTATAAAATAGCTCATTAATATATACTTTGGTTCAGAGAGAAAAACATATGTTCTGTGCCAGAAACTCTATTACCGTAGATTCACGTCTTATTCTCCTGTTGGGCTTTCCCAAAGCTTCAATAATTTCCAGGGCGTACAAAAGTTTATGGGCACTTTTTATTCGCAGAAGATCCTTCCAGCTAAAACCATCATTACTCTTAAAGATAAAAAAGACAGAAAACAATTAACACAATTATATGTAATGCTGACCTATCTAAAAAAGGCAAGGAGAGGATTTTTAAAGTGACACGGACAAATTATTTTGTTTATAATTTCATCTATTATTTGAAATTAGACAATTTCAAGCATATTTCTAGACATGTTTAACAATTTAAATAATGTGTATTTAGCAAGGAAATTTGAGTAAACCTCCAACATTATTATAAGGTAAGTAGAGGAAGCCAAATGTTATACTCTAAATTATAACTTCCACCAAAATTTTGAGGCATGTGTCCATAAAGATCTGTAATATCCAAAAACTGTTAATATGTAATTTCAACAACTTTAAAAGAGGCAAAATTTTCATCTACAGGGCACGAAAACAACTAGGTAAGTACTCTTGTTCTGAACTTACAGAAGAGAGTACAAAAAGATTACTATCAGAACAGTTATAATGTTAAAGTAAGGCTGCAGATGAAGAAATTGCTGTTTCAATTCATGCCAGAAGATTGTAACAATTAGTATTGACTATTCATTTAATAAACAATTTTTAATAGAAATCATAAAAAAAAAAAAACTTTGTGAACTAAGCTGACACCTCTGTTTAGCTTAATTTCATAAGAATTATTAGGTTTGTTTATTAGGTTTACTTGTGTCTCAGCATACTTAACATACTTACTATTTAACATTCCTATCTGGGGAAAATTCACCTAACACACCAGACACTAAAACATGCATGTATAATAAAGATAAACGTGTAAAACAAGCAGTCTTTGTTCACCTGCTCATCCGAAATATTCTGGAATGCCTGCAACATATTAGGGCACGTTGGCAGAAGCATTAACAGTTCCCAGACACGTCTGGATAAGTTTTCTGCATGGAGATGGAGTTCTTCACACCTTGCACTCTGATAAACCATAGAACAACCATTCTTATTGTGAACTTCATTGTGAAAATATGATTTCAAAGACCAAAAAAGTATTTCTTTTTAATTACGAAGCTATCTGTTTCCTATCTAATGTAAATCCATAAATAGGAAATGATAGATGAAGTCTCACTGAACCTGCAAAAAACTAAGTTACATCACCTTTACAGCATATCACACGTTTTGAAATATGTGAGTGTAAATAAAACTTAAAAATAAACTACTTGTTTGAATATACTAGTGGTTATTTAATTTCCCACAAGTTAATGATGGCATATAAGACATAAAGCTTGAGTTTTTGCAATAAAACATTTACAAATCTTTCTTCAAGCCAATTCCCATTATTAGTCACCACATCTATTTAAACAATCAATAATCTTTCTTAGGAATTACTTTTTTATAGCTTCTACAATACTTAGAACATTAAAAATATATCAGAACAATGTTGTTAAGAAAATTAGAAAAATCATGATAATGATTACACCATATGTGAAATGTCAATATACTGGTAATAAATATATCTAGCAATTGGATAGAGTACACAAGAAGGCGGCTAGATAGGAAAAAAAGATCCAATTAAATACGACTTAAATGTAACTATTCTAATACAATTACTCTAAATTACCTCACTATCTTCCATAGCCACTTCTCCAGAAGGAGGCTTAAAAGAGGCAAGCATCTCTAACAAATCAAAAAGGGTGGTAAGATGAGGTTCTTGCAGGAGTAAAAGCATCGGAATGTTGTCCTTCTGAGGAGGAGGTAGGCAGGATGCCGGAAGCTGAACACCTTCACCTTTACGTTCTCTCCTTGGTGCGCCCAGGGATACAAACACCATCTAGAAACAGAGAGAAACAACAAGGAGGAGAGAGACAATTTTCAAAATACATATATGATAAACCATGGAATGTTTTCAACAGGATGATAATTAAGAACTTAAAGATGCATCGATATCTTTCTTGTCAAATCTCTACTGTTGAGCAACTGCCATAATTAAAGCCTGGTTTTGGTTTGACCTAAGGCATTCAAGGTATAGTTGCATACATGTTTGCTGCTGTTGCAGTAGATGGTCCTGTTTCCTTGTCCCTCATCCCTTATTTTACCATTCAGGCCAGGGAGACTCTAGTAGTGGTCTGACTTGTCAATACATTAATGGAATGGCACAAAAACTAATTCAGAGGAAAAATGAGATTGATTGGCTCAAAGGACCAGAAGAATGCTAGCGAGGACGTAGCAACACAAATAACAGTGTGGTTGGAAAAACAGACATTTGTTATACTGGCATAACCATGTTGTGGAAAGCCATTCTCAGATGAACCGAGGTTATCCCCTCCATTATTGATCACATCCAGCCACTCAAACTGAATGTTACTGCTCCCCCAAGTTCTGCGAACATAAGAATTCATCCGATTGCACTATAGTTCAATTCCGTAAAATTATCTACGTAAATAGGAAAAAAATATTTTTAAAACTGGTTTTGCTTTTGAATTAACCCAATTCATTTACCAAAAAGAACTAGCGAATAGCTGAAGACGTAGTCCAGCAGATCATCTGATTTGGAACCGCAAGAGTCAAGATAGACTAACTGCTACAATTGCTAACAGCCAGCAACAGCACATGCAAGCATATCAGCCAGTAATAATCTTTCTAAAAAGATGTTAGCAGATCCCTGAAGATGTACAATATGAGTTTAGAGTTCCTTTAGATAGAAAGAACGTATGTGATGATCTGCTGCTAAGTTTCATTACAGTCCCACCTCCCTAAAACAGTCATTATGTCATTCACACTTATTAAAATCAAATCAGGCTTTTCCATGCTGTTGACTTCAGCAAATTTATGAGTAGACCACTCTAGAGGAACTCTGAATTGAGATAAAAAATTACAGATAAGCATTTAAAAAATGCTTCAGATTTAACCTGTGAAAGGAGAGAGGTAGTCACCGCTACTATAGAATTAGTACGTGTTCAACAATTCAGACAAAATGTGGATATTTGATTCTGGTTTTGCTGGTCCCTTGTTTTCCTTGACAAATGAAAAAAACTGAAATTTTTCTTTTATTCCTTGAGTTTTCATGTCTGCTAGCATAACTAGAATTAGGCTTTTTTACTATTTCAAAAACTGACAGCAGCAAGGACCAACAGCATTAGTTTGAGCTTACAGAAGGCACGTATTGGATAGTATGAAACAACTAGTTTCAGAAAACTATAGGATGCTTGCAAAGAAAAGTATACTTTCTACCACCGCTACATATATCAGTGGCAGAAGACAAAAGCAACATATCAACCAATCTTTTTCAGTGACTACTATCTATATGCTGGTAATACCTGCATATCCTTAAAACCCAATTCATGAAGCGTTTTTTCATCATAATCAGTTGTCAGTTCATGCCCAGATGAAATCATTCTCACAGGTCCCATGAGGCCACCTAGGATAAAAACATATTTCAGTACATTTCTGGAATGATAGTTTCATTTTCTAAAGAAAGCGCTAGAACTTATTTTTAATAGTACATCCTTCAGTAGCAATTAAAATAAGCAAAAACTTAATGCAATTTTCTTAAGAAAACTGGTTATTACGTTGAACTGAATTTACCAGGATGCATTCAGAAATAACCTTTTCAGTAACAGTTCGCCCAATATTGCAGGGAAAAGTGTTCACAATACAGATTAAAACGTGTCTTCCGTATTCTGTAATAAATTATGCTATGCCAGAGAAGGATAATGGAAAATGACTGTGATCATCAACAAAATCCCTTGGCATCACACACCTGCGATAAAGTCAGCAAAGGCAAAGAAGCAATGATCAATCTTACTTAAATGTAAGTTGGAACTGAAGATGTCATATACTTCAGAAAGGAAAAACTGAGAACACCCTTCAAAGAATTCTCGAGACTGAACAAGAAATCTGAACAATTAAAAGATTAAGAAATTAATTTCATTTGGTGCAGACAATCAGGCAGGAAGCAGTAACCAAGAATTACAATGCTCAATGACTTTTTACCTCGGACTACCAATTCTGGTGCAGAAAGGTATTTGTCATGGATTGAAATTTGCTATGCTTTTCAGCCACTCTTCTTACTAGTACACCTTTCCCTAAAAATAGGCCCTGGTCCTTCACACCACTGAAGAGCAGCCTTACACTGTCACTGTACTCCAACATTGGGATTTCAATGAGGCTTCTTCAGAAAAGTCTATTTTTTTGAACCTCTTACAGAAATCTTGGGAAGTACTCAGAGTTTTGTAACCTGAAAATGCTTCAAAACAGTCCATTACCTGGCTATAGGAACACAGTATTCAACAACATGGTTAAACCAACCAACCAAACAAGCCTATATAGATGCAGCGAACTTAAACTTCATTCCTTCACTGTCATAACGACATGCATGGTGTAGTGCATGTGCAGTCAGCCTGCTGCTTCTGGTAATTACTGAAAGCCTGTCTGTCATCTGCAGTCTGCAGCCACACAGTCTCTGTTGCCATATGCACACAGTAAATCCAGGAGATGCTTCCCAAAACCAGCTGAGATAAACATACCAAATTGGAATGTCCAATTCCAAATCTGGAATGTCTGCTGACATTTCCAAACTACAGCAGTCCAGTGAGATGTACACCCAATAACTTTGATGGGACTGCTAGATAAATGGAGGTAATCAGGCAAATACATTATGATTCTCAAATCCTGCCCAAACAAAATTTCTGGGACATTCTTGGGAAAAAGTGGATAGACAGCAGCCTGCCGAAGACATCTGTCAGTTTACCATAAAACCATAAAGGTTTTATACGGGAGTTTGGCATAATCTCACATATCTATCACTATTCCCATCCTCCCCAGCTGGCTGCTTTGAATTTCACATTTGTCTGAGCAAAGCAGATGTCAAATGAGCAAGAGATATTACAAAAGGTACTGGGACCTCAAAAGAATTATGTGGTAAACACCTGGTAAAGGGAAAAAAAAAATTAAGTTTATTGTAGTGAAAGAGAATTAAAAGGAAAATTCAATAAATGTGCATGCATCTACTACTTACAGATACATTCCCAAAGTTTTGGCTAGTGGGCATTCTTGGATATTCCCTCGACAGAACCATGAATGTAAAAACATCAGAAATGTATCTGTAACTAATAAATGCTCTAAGGTTTTTCTAGCCCATCTCGGAACCTGCAGCTTTGTTTTCCGAAATAATGGTTACCTCACTTCTGTAACAATCTGTTTAACATTAATTTCTAGTGTCTTCACCTTCTTAAACTAAATTTCCTTTTAAGACAACAGGTGTTGACATATCATTCACTCATGAATCCCAAGAGCAGGAAAATGAAAGTAACACTTTGTGCCAAGATGCTGGAAATGAAATGGCCACCTACACAGTGGTGAAAAGGCAGGCTAACAGGAGCGCTAAAGGAGGCCAACAGCGTAAGAGAGTGCCAGTAACAGTTAACAACAGATGAAACAAATAAAAAGCAGTAAAAAAAAACAACCCACAAGTCTAGAATTCCAAGAGCCAAAAGTTGATACAAAAATCCTGTTTATCCCCGTCTATTTTGTGAAACTGAAAGCCCACCTGAGAAAACAACTAAAAACCAATTAAGAACAATGAGATTTAGCTCTATAAGGACAAGAGGAGAAAAAAATGGTTCTCTGACATCACAAGCCTTTAATTTTTACTGGAATTCGATAAAGTCAGCTCAGATTTCTACCTAAGTTGATGAAATAATCACCATTTCAGGTTCCTAACCAGGAACTTTTATTTTTTTTTAGATTAACCAATACAGGTATATTAAAATGGACATAGTAAAGGTCGCCGAGACAGCAGTGTGCGCTATGTACCTTACAATACATGTCTCCTGTGATGCAGAATGACTCAAGTTTTTAAGTGTAAACAGTCAATACACTGAACCATAATTCACAGAGATCTTTGTGACTGACAAAATCATATTAGAAAGTCCATTCTTTTTTTTAATCTATACAAAACAGTCCCCAAAATAGGGTACGGGTGAGTAAAACTGCAGGTTTTAACCACAAGTCTCAGTTTCAGTCCTATCTTCTCCAAAATTAGTTGAAAACTAAAAATAATGTGACTAGATTATTCCAAACACATGGTGGCATGCAGAGAATAATGCAGAGACACTTCTTCAGGAGTTTGGTTAATAAGAGATTTAGCCTTTTACAGGATTTTCTGCATCTATCTGCCAACACAGATTAATAATTACAAGACAAAGCACTTAGACTCATTAATACAGGTTCTAAACCTACAAAGGAGAATGGGTTTATGAATCAACAGATACAAATTTTATGGTTCTCCACTTTCCCATAGTTATGGTATGTTAACAATTAGTTTCATAAACAGAAAAAATAAAAGAACATCCACAAAACATGTACAAAATTATGGATATCAGCACAGACACAAAAGACATTGTAAATACATAACATGACTGAACTGCAGCTGCTGTAGGACTACAATTCCAAATTTTCTGAATCATGTGTTTCTAAAATCCCAGCTAAAACAAAAATAAAAATTTCTGCTATGTGGTTCTACTTTGCAAAAACCAAGATAGCTTCTTCACTAAAACAGCTTCTGATGAGTGGCTGGAAAAGGATTTTGCAAAGAAGGCAATTAAGATGTCTAAAATTCAGTCCGGTTTACCACCAGCGTGTCTCATTAAAACTTTTTTTAAAAAAGTTGTTAAACTATGAAAAGAAAGTCCAATTCATGTTTACACATAAACTAAAGGTCTATTGGGACTTGGAGCTTGGTTAGATCTAAGGACTTCAGGCAGATCTAAATTTTCTTTGCTATTTCAAATAAATGATAACGCTTAAGAAACAACACTATTAATTAAAAGTGAGGATGGTGCTAACTGTAACTACAGCTAGAAGAAAGTAAATTGTAATGCTTGCTTATTCAGGATATCTGGGGAAGAAAAAGACCCTAACCTTTTAAGTTCTAAATGGATGAACCCTTGTAAGGGCAAAAACCGCAGGTACGAATACTATTGCTTACCAGGGAAATCCCCTTTGCGGCTGCTTTGGCCAAACTCCTGAAGCTGTGCTTGTTGATTTATCTGCTCCTTCTGCAAATTTTCATACCAATGGGTGACTTCCGCCCGTAGATCAGCCACCTGATCACTAGGATACATTTCTATAGTCATCTGAAATAAAACATGTATTTTATTTTTCAAAGCGCACAACGGATTTACCGAAATTTAATAACGTAGGATGTACTTGTAAAAGGCCTTTTAACTTACCTTGTCTGGAAGTCCAGCTGGCTGACATACAATTCTTAGTGGTAGTGACTGTTTGTCACTCAGGGCTTTCAAGTGACTGCTGATACCAGTGCCTTCAATCTGCCACTGTCTCAGATGATATGCAAACCTTAAGAAGCAGGTAAAAATGTTGAAAAAGTATTTTTGTCAAAACCTATTTAATACAAACGTTTGCTAAACAATGAGAGGAAAGACAAAACTTGCACCTCTATTCACTGGGTTTTTTTTCCAAAATAAGAGGAAGCTATTGATATTCTGACTATTTTTAAAATAAAACTAAAATAACTTTGAAGAAATTTCTTTGGTGAGGAATGGGGAAACATGAACCACATCCATACATATTTATACAAGGACAAGGGCCAGCTCTGGCAACTGTTTAAACCTTATATATTACCTTTCAGAATTATCCACTACTGTCTTGTCTTTACACAAAGAACTCACGCATCATTATGCCAAGAGGAATGGAAACAAACTCTGCATCCAAACATATCAATAGAGCTATTTACCTTCTCCTAAAGGCCTCCAGGTGTGTCTTCAGCATTAAGAGTCCTCTTTCAATAATCGTCAGACTTGAATGAGAGTCTTGCTCAAGGTTACTAGAAGCTATCATCAGACTCTCCATACACTTGCTAATAAATTCCTGTTCTTTTTCCAGACCAGTTTTACCTGTAATATCAGTTAAACTAAATTATATATGCACAACTTTGGGACTATGCATTTTAATACTAAGAATAAAAAGAGGGTAGCACTAGATATTCTTTACAACACCTTAGACAGAAAACAAAAATAAAAATGAAAATTCATACCATTGATATAATAAGAGTTGATATACTGGATAGCTGCTCGACTGACGTCACCAGACTGTGCTCTTAAAGCAATACCCCAGAATTGGTCCATGCCACACAACTGTTTTGACAAAAGGAAAACAAACACAGAAACAAAACATTGCCTCATTATTTTACTGGGAGTGATGCTTTTCTGACCTGAGACATTTTATTTCCCTCTTGACGCAATTACTAAAACCATCTCCGTTCTTCCTCTGCTTGGGCTCTCATCACCGCGCACATCAATTACTATAAAATACTAAGTTTCACAGAAACATTTTCACACTTTGAAGCATAAGGAGAACTGGTTAAAATTCAAAAGAGTGAATTTTCCTTTTTAACAAACAGGAATACTTTTAAATAAAGCCTTAAAACCACAACTATAATTGATATTCATTGCAAGAACAGAAGTTTTAACAAAAACTTTCCTTAAATCATTCACAGGAAAATATCCTATATATCATTTTATTTCTGAGATAGTTTCACTGTATAAAAAAAACTGTAGAAGAAAAACTTCTAAGGCACATCATATGTAAACTGAGACACATTTTACAACAGATTTCTAGTCAGAATTAAATATGCCTAATAGAATGCCATTTGAACCTTCTTATTTAGAAAAGTAAATGTTACAAATATATTCTTTAAACAGAATACTGAATACAGTTCAGTTATACTAAACTGCACAAAGATATGCAGGCAACAGGTATCACTTTCTTTGTGGTTTCCTACCTCTACCTCTAGAGACAAAAGCCACACATGCCCAAAGCCACGAGGGAAGGTCAGGATCGTGGGCCTCTTTTATTCCCACTTCACTGTCCCACATTTGGAACTTTTGAGTCCTGAGCTCCCAGGGCTCTCCTTAAGGCAGTAATCTGCACACACCTCACCACTATGGACTGTGGCATTACTATCTCAAACCAGTAAACAATACTCAAGCCAGTAAGTTCTCACGAGATGTGTCATTGCAGAGAAGTAATTTAACCTCCCCCTTCCCTCAGAAAGAAGAAAAACATGAGCACAGAATCTAGGCTTACCTCCGAGTTTGAGCCACCATCATATGCACTAGTAGCCAATCGAGCCAAATTACACAAATGCTGGAAGAGGTTTAGGCCAGTCATACTAATAGTTTCAGGTTTTAGTTGTGGCATCTAAAGAAAATTAATGTACTTTAGTATGGGAAAAAAAATTCAGTGATGGAATGGACAGCAATTACAGGGTATTTATTTCATTAGCACAGAAAAATGTCATCGTTACTACCAATCATATTCGAATGTAGTAGATCAATTAACATTCATTCTTGCAAAAGATCACACTCTGAATTTTATATACAATACAGTTAGCTTAAATCTCTTTTGTCTACTAGTGACTTGGACTGCAACAGTGCAGAGGAAACAAAAATTATTATTGTAATATTAGCTGCTTAACTTATCAACAGCAAGACAATTTGCTAGCATCACAATGTGTCTAATCAAAAAACTCATACACTTAAACTAGACAAAAATCCGTGTAACCTTGAAAAAGAACTAGACTACATTAATTATTGCACAATCTACCCATTTTGTAATGTCATCTGTTGAAATGGATGGGACCCCTTGCAAAAAGCTCTACTGCTGCATGCTCGTACTTTCAGTGGATGTATCGATAAGACTTATACGCCACTCCCAAAAAGGAAAAAAGTTATTTTTTTAGTCAGGTAAGCTACGTATCATAAAGTATAGTTTTGGGTGGCTTTTTTTTCAAATTGAAATGGAGTGCTACATAGATTCAGATACAACACACAGGCTATTTGAAAAAAACCACTCAAGTTAATACTACCATGAAAAGAATTCATGCCAATCCGGTCCTCTCTTCCCCCTAAGCACAGAAAAATCATTGCATGACAAGTGGGGCCTGCCCAGACTACTGAACACCCATTTTCCAAAGAAACAATTTTAAATACGTTAAATAATGCTGATATGGAAACAAACACTTTTACTAGAATTGTAAGATTGCAATTAACTCTCTACATACCTTTTCCAAAAAAAGATGCTTGTAAGTCTCCATACCCATAGCATGCTGATCTTTACTTCGTACTTGATTTAAGAACCAGTGTAGTGCATCATCGTAACATTCAGAATCTTCTACTAAGCAGTGCCACAGTATGTCCACTTGTTCTAAACTCAACCCTAAAATTAGGGAAGTATTTTAACTACTCCTTTATAACATCAAACATATAGTGATATTCCACAAAACCCAAGAATACATACAGAAAAATCAGAATAGTTTTTGTCAGGACAAGAAGTTTTCAGAAACAACAAAGAAAAATGCACCGCCTACCAACTAGGAATCACACACTTTCCCCCTTTTAGAGCTGGCAATCAGCTACAGGTTTTGGTCCTTAGTGCTGTCAGCTGTCACTAAACCAATGAGTAGCATGGGCCGACCTGGGATCTCATACCAAACAGCAGGTCATTCCTCAGTTCGCAAGTAATTATTAGGCGCAATATAAAGTCCAGCTTTGAGCTGGGTCTTGAGACTGTGGCTGAAAACAGTATCTCTGTAACTATTTCATTGCTTCTTCTTTCAAGAGAATAGTAGGTTTATTTTCTTAGCTACCATATGAACATTTGTGATCTCAACAAATCTCTTTAAAAAGAATTGTGGCTAACCTATCAACAATAGCAAATATGGTGTTACAAGTTTTCCTTCTCTTGGCCAGAGATATTCTCGTTCCTTCCTGTCCTCCACTCTAATGACCAGAGAGACAAGCCATGCACTGTATGCCAACTCTGACTACCTATAATGACATTACCCAAATGACTCCTTGCCCTTCATTTGTTTTAATAAATGACCTCAATATACAATCAACTGAAAGTCTGTACAGAGCTGATGCTGAAAGAACACTGACGGCTATTAGTTTACAAGGATTTAAGAGAAGATTCAAAAAAAGAATTTATGGAAGGAAAAGCCACCAAGGGTTACTAAAAACACAGACAATTATGTTCAACTTTGAATGCCATCAGCCACATCAAAAGATTTCTATTTTTAACCTTTTAAGAATGAAAAGATTTCAGCATCTGTACAGATCAACTATCATACAGAACACTACTTTTGCAAAAGCATAAACCGATTTCTGACAGTATTAAAACAGAAAGAATTATTCCTCTTTGGTATCACAACTTACTTACAGTGCACTCCAGTACAAGATCTCTCAGAACATTATGGATGTGAACCAAACCCCACAAATACAGAATATATTATCTTCATTTCAGTAATTACTACAATCCTAGTATTTAGAAAAATTGAAGCACAGTGAACATAAAAATTTGGTCTCACGGAACTGCAGTAGAATCTAAACTCCAATGTTGGTTCTGTGCTTTTGTCAAAAAAATCTTCTTTCTTTTGAAACAGTATCAGAGAAGATTTAAAATTGTATGTTTAAAATACCATATTTATTTAAGCTAGCATTGATTATTAAGAACTATGCAAGCCTTACGATGAGGTGCTTCTTTGATAAGGTAACCTCAAATACTTACTGAAATGATCTGGTGATCCTAGAGTTGAAAAAACACATGTCAGGAATTGAAGACGAACCTGAACTTCTGCACTGTGGCTGTATCTAAAATTCAAATTTGTAGAAAAACGGAAGTTCATTTAATTTTTATTGTAATTACTTTTTTCCCCCTCATACATGTGCCTCTTAAAAGTATAAATAATTTTTTCTTAGAAGTTTCTTTCTGAACTTCTAGTTCAGTATATAGTCTAGTCTCCAGTTGTACACATCACAGAACTATGGCAAACAAGTGGAATGACACACTAGTCATTACTAGATAAGGTACTTTTTTAGTTGTTTTTTGGGGGAGGGGAATGGGATTTTTTTTGGGCATACAGTCCAATTCAAATGCATCATTTTGTCATTAGCACCTTGCAGGTTCTGACCTTAATTTTTTTCCCAACTTGTAAAATGCTGGTATTTCTACTCTGAATTTCCAATCCCAGATGACATATAGTCTTTATAAAAATATTTTCGTAAGATATAAAGATATTAACTTTATTTCTGTTTATAAAGTAGAAGCTTAATGGTCAAAGGAGCAGAACAATGTATCATTTTGCCTGAATTTAAAGCAATCACCCCACTTTCAAACAGCTTTTGAAGTAATTTCTTACTAAAGCAATGTTCAATATAAAGGAGTATGATGAAGTAAAAATTTGGTCCATAAATAGCAACACTTCTCAATTGTGGATCCCCATATTTACATATTGACTTTGACATCTGTCAAAACATCAAGAGTCTATTCCTCCGGGACTGGGAAGCTAGAAATTGTATGGCTTGTGTATATACACCTAATTTTAATCATACAGGTCAGAAAGTGCAGATGAATGTGTTAAAACAGAAAAAAAATACAGCAAACGTTAATGATAACAGATTTAAAAACTAAAATATTTGAATAGTTTTATGATATGAAATCCCTTGAAATTGATTTGCATATATCAAATCTTTGTGTCTTATTTGTAAACAAATATTCAACATAATGCCTAACAAAAATAAGAGTTGTTGTGTGGTTTTTTAAGGAAAAGGAAACTATTTAAGATGTTATTGTTTTTACAGACCTTTGTCTCCCGAAGCATGTAATGTCCCTATAGAAAGTATGTACTTATGAGAACCCATCAGAAGCACCAGAAGAAAAGCAGAAAAGAAATGTTTGAAAACATAAAATATCAAACACTCAAAGTCAGTTGTGTACTTACAGCGCGTGTTTATGTCGTCCTTCCCTGACTGCCTGAATGTAGTGTACCAAATTATCAAAGAAAAGTTTCATCATATTAAGTTCCTTTTCTGCCCACCTGTGTCAATTTAAAGGGCAGAAAGTATTATGGTTTGCTCAAAAAGATCATAAAAGCTACAGAAATTAGAGAGCTATTATAGGATAATTGCATACACATAAAACCAAAGTAAACATTCAATTTTCTGTCTACCATGAATTCAGGAGTATTTTCCAGTACAGTACTCTCTTCTTCCTTGTCATCCATAAGGCTCCACAATGATGTTCTTTTCAGGCATAGGACTGACTGAACACTCACTTTGAGACCATGAAAACTGTTCTTAAAGGCCCTAATTCAGAAAAAGTCTAAGCCAAAACTCAGAATTGGGCATATATTTAAATGTCGTGTCAAAAAGGCCAATAAAAATTGCTGATAATCACTGTAATCTTTCCTAGAAGTTCCAATAGTCCATTCTCTATAGTTAGACCAGCTTGTTACATAGTTTGTTCTAGTAAGGAATGCTATACTATATATCCTCACATTTCAAAGGTTTTCTTATAAACCAAATTTTTTATTACTGAGAACCATTTGATATACAATCAGAACAGAATGAGGTAACATCAAGTTATTACAACATTTTACAACACACTATTAGTGGATGTCTAGTAGTCTGCAAGTCCTTTGGGATTTAAAGGGGAGGTGTGTTTAAAAAAAAAAAAAAAAAGTCTTCACCTCAGTTACGACAGTAGGGCGTATTATGAAGAAATCTAGGCCTGAGTGATTAGACAAACTTATGCATCTAGGTCAGACAACACACGGGTAACTTTAGGTCATTATTAACTTGGACCACACTGAAGGAGCAAGCCTTGCAGCAGTCCATCACTTCTGTTGGTTTAGTCTGCTGGGGACAGGGCACCACTTACATTGTTATCCAATGGGTATCATAACTGCTCCCAAATTGCTGAAAAGTACCAAACAGCTTTGGAAGAAGACGAAGTGATACTACTACTGATCTAAAGGAGAAATAGAGAAATGATGACAATATATGATTGCTACAAAACTGTCAATTTTAAAATAATTTTTAGAAGTTCAGGTTCAGTGAGCAAACAGGCTAACTGAAAGCACTGTAAATACCCGTGTGAAAGTTACCATCATGTCAGCCAGTTAGTTTTCTGAATCTGAACTACACATACTTTTAATTCTTTACATGTTATACCTTGGACAGACAGCCATTTAACAAGTACAAAAATAAAACAGTGTAAGTTTTTCTTAGCAAAAATTACTTTAAATTTCAAAAGATAAATTCTTATTTTTGAGTTTCATAAAATTTATCTTTCGAAATTTTGGCAAAATGAATATGGTTTTTCTACAAACAGATGACATAGCAGAAATAAATCTGCCTGAAACTCATTACAGAAACAAGTAGGTGTGTATTGTAAGACAACAAGCTAGCAAAACTCAAGAAGTGCATAAACAGGATGTAACTGAACTTTCGTATCAGTGATAAGTATCTTCAAATTTATTAACTAATATCTCAATATACTTGTAACTCATCTCACAAATATAGTTGTTAGCAAAAAGGTAACAACATAACACTGCAGGTGATGTCCAGCAGTCGACTGAGTGCATCAACAAAATAAATTCCACTTTTGTCAATCTTCAAACTGTACAAACTCACAGCTTTGGCTGGTATTAAAACAAGTTATCTGAGGTCAAGGTATTACTTATACCTCCAGCTGCTTCTTCACAGAAATTAGACCCCACAACAGATTTGGTGGAAAAGAACTTGTCTGTTCCTCAGCCACTTGCATGTAAAATCTAAATACTCAGTTCAAAATGCTTATGCTAAGGCACTTGACCTTATACTCAACTGGCTAAGATATGGACCCAATTTTACCAAATTGTAGGAAGGCAGTAACCTCTGGCAGAAGGGAGAACAGACAAATGCAACAAGATCAGAAATCTAGGACACTGATAGGACAGAAAAATGGAACATCAGACACATCCATAACACCTTGAAAACTATTTTTATACTTTTGCTTTCGTCTGGCTTAACTTGTCTTCCTGTAAAATGAAGTAACTGTTATAGTCAACTTGGATTTCCTCTATGTTGCAAAAATAGATACATGTAAAAACAGACAATTCATCATTTAAGTTACCTGTTGTTTGCTAAATTTTCTAAGCAGCCTTCAATAAATCTCATTCGAATCTGTCTGTCAGTGAACCAGCATACTAAAGAACAGAGCAGCTTCTCTGCTTCATTTATTAACCCTTCAGAGAGATGAATCTACAGCAAGTAGAAAGAAAGGTCACTGAATAGTATATAGATTTTTTTTCTTTTAAAAAATATTCTTTTCTGGTATTCAACTTACTGCATCTTCATCCTGGACCAGATCCCACAAAAGGGTATTTCCTTTCTTACAAACATTATCCAAATTAATGTCCGTCACTGCATTGCTATTATATTGATGTTTATGAACTGCTGGTCCTGAACAAAATATAAAGATCGTTATTGAATAAATAGAAGGAACTGTCTAATCTCAACATTATTCCCTAAGTGCATGAAGAACAACATGCTTTGTTTGTAAACTTGGCTATTTTAAAGTGTATACAACAACATTGTAATTGCAGCCTTTTTTCACTTATGGGTTCTTAAAAGAAGACAAAATATTATGACCATACAAGAAGTCAACAGGGCAGTTAAGCCAATATTCACAGTGTTTTGGGTTAATGGCAAGGTACAATAAAAACAATACTTAAGAATTGCAGATGCAGGTGCAATTGTGTTTTAATTTAATTAGATTTAATTCACAGTGTAATTAAAATATTTCTTAAGTCTTTCTGTAGTGCTGTGGTCCAAAGGGAGGTATATTTATAACCACCACGGTTGGAAAGTAAAAACGAAGCACATTTCAATAAATCCCCTTCATACTGCATGATCTCCTGTAATTAACTAAAAAATAGGAAAGACAAACACCATTTTTTATATATGACAGAGTATCAAAGTGCATGATTTTAGAAACTCATCATGTTTTCATAAACACTAATACACATTTTCCTTCTTCTATGTGGCCACAGCCGGCACCATTCGTTCATCTACTATTTGATTCTATTTTCATATAACAGCAAAGTCAAGTAGAAAATTTGGACTGCGTGCAGAACACTATAATTATTTGCACATGCAAAACTAGGAGTGTCAAAAATAATCTGCGCTGAAGGCCTCATGCTCAAACAGTAATTTGGATCTTCTCTAAGACATGTAATATCTATGGAAAATATCGAAAAAATAGGCTGATTTACAGCATGTTTTATTTACAAAGTTTTAGTAGTTTATTCAATTCTGCAGCGTAGAAAAAAAACCCTTCCAAATTTTCAATGTCAGACTGAAATTATAATTCAGTTCCACATAACAAGGAATGTTAAGCCTAAAGAAAAAAGAGACTTCTTACTCAACTGCGTTTCAGGAAAAGATATAAATAGTACTGGTTTTACTGTCTGCTGGAAGATAGCAAACTTGGTTCTGCCAGACCAGTGAAGAAAAATGTCAAACCTTCACTAACCATACTGTCCACTATATTTAAAATGAGGATAAAACAGAAAATAAAGCTGCCACAATAGCATAGGAAAAGATGATACAATTCTTGAGAAGTGTTTTAGTAGCATCTTAAATCGCACCCTGAAGTAAACTAGAAGATTTGGCATCGTAAGATGGAATAGCCCTTTAAGGCAAGTTCCCCAAGATACAAAGTTTTATTTTAACTCATTTATCCAAAATTATCCTCTGTACAGCCCATTATAGTTAACTCATTTAAGATGACAAATATACAGAATCACAATAAGATCCACCCACCAGAAGAAAAATTGCATAAGGTTTCAGAGAGGAAAAAAAAAATAAAAATCTCGCATTTCAGTACCATCTTTCTTTTTACTTTAATAACTTACTAGAAAAAAACATTTGCTAGGCTCTTGAGTGCCTTTATTTGCTTGAACTTGTATTAAAAGCTCCAGTAGAAATAGGGGGGAAAAAAATGAAAAAAGGTAAACACAGCAATATTTAATGTGATACAAAAATCAGTCTTTTGGAGAAACAGTAAAATCTCAGTAGCCAACGTAGTTTCTTTGGGTAAATACACATCTATGGTTAAAATAATTTGATATGTTAATTATTGGAAACTAATTCAAAATTATATAAAACCAAGCTAGAAGTACAATGGTTTTCTGTTTTCTTTTTATCACTCTTACCTTGACTAAGATGTTCATGATAGATAGAGGCAAGGTTAGGAAGGTGCTGCTGAAGATGAGATGTTAGCTCAGCATGTGAATTAATCTGTACAAGCTCTTCCTCACAGCCAGACTCCTCCCCATCAAAATCAGCCATATTTTTCTCTGATTTTGCACTGACTTGGGAACTACTGCAACTGACATCATCTGCACTTAGCATATCATCAACCATATGCCTGTAAAAGAATATTACAATGGACAATATCAAAGACAAAGTTGTTTATAGCAGACTACAAGTGAGCAGACAACTCCCTAAAGCTAAAGTGAGGATGAATCATCTGTGTGATCAGCAGACCTTCATATGAATTTGAAAAAACAATTACAGATAAATTGAAGGGCTCACTATCATGATGAGTGTGTTGACTAGTTTAATGTTAACTAAATACAGCATTTTCCGAAACAATTTTAACATTTTCTTAAATGTTGTCTTATGTATTCAACAAAAAAACTTTACAAAAAACTTTAATCAGATGTTAACAAAACAGATTACTATGTAACTATCTGCGATAACTATCATCTCTGTTAGACAAGATTATCCTGAACTATAGCAAAATGTCTATACAAATTTCTGCCCAAATGGAATATTTTCCTACCACTTTTATTTCTGTTATAGAAGTACTCAGAAGAAATGTCAAGCTACCTACCCGTCATGGTGATGGTGATGGTGGTGGTGGTGGTGGTGAGATAACTATTATCTCTGTTAGACAAGATTATCCTAACTATACCAAAATGTCTATACAAATTTCTGCCCAAATGGAATATTTTCCTACCACTTTTATTTCTGTTATAGAAGGACTCAGAAGAAATGTCAAGCTACCTACCCGTCATGGTGATGGTGATGGTGGTGGTGGTGGTGGTGATGCTGCGGTCCAATGAATTGTCGACAGTTAAATAATTCATTTCCGATAGTTTCCCCAAGGAAGTCCCCTGTGTGAGTTATACAAGAATCTTGAGACCCTTGTGAAATGTGAGCAGTGCTCATTTCCCCTGTCATATCATGCTCTGCATCCTCAGCATGAGGACAAGCATCTAGCATTCTAATTCGATTATCCACTGGTGTCACAGAGTCAGTGTTAAAAACATGGTCCTTTCCTGCCCCATTATTCGCACCACTCCTCTCAGATGCCCCTTGTGAATCTCCCAGACAAATGCCCGTTTGTGATTCCAGTTTCCTCGTTCGTAAGTCTGTGCTTCTACTGCTTTTCTGGGGATTATGATTCCTCTCTTCTTCCTCTTCATCCTCCTCCTCTTTGAGAGCTTCAATATCTGCAATGTCTTCAGACTGCACCTCGCTGCCAGGGCTTCCAGCAGACTGGCTTGCGTGACTGGAGTTGGCCTCATTACTGGATCCATCACTGTGGCCACTGCTACTACCAGGACCACTACTGCCATCCTCACCACTGTTGGCTGTCTCATCAGAGCTTCCTTGCATGGATTCCTGAAATTATTTTTTTAAGATTGGTAGAAAAATAAACCACCACTGAAAATACATAATCAACATCATCATCATTCAAATACCATTCTTCATTTATGAGGAAATGTGTCAAATCTACAAATTTTTATTCGTTCTTTCTCAATTTGGTTGCCAATGACAAAATGTTCTGAGCAAGATTCAGATTTAATAATTTAATTTTTCATGGTCTTATTTGTAACAGGGTATATGTTCGGGCGTTGCATATACACAGAGTCACAGTGTGACACACAAAAATATGTCATGCAATCCCTTACTCAGATTAATCTAACCGAAATGCAATTTAAATGCAGGAATCTATTAGTTTGAGGTGTTTTTTTGCAGTGCACTTGTTCATAGGCAAGGTACAATATACTCTATGTAAACTGCACAGAACAGTAGTAAAGATTCTAGCTATTCACCAACTTGCTGCAGGTAAGCATACATGCTATGTACCTGTCCAGGTTTTGAAATGATTACAGAAAAAAATTATTCCATAGCTAGTAATAGGCAACACAGTCACAAAAGTCACAGACTTAAGATTTACACTCTTACCTCTGTATCTGAAAGTCGCTGCTGTACATGTTTTGTTCTGTTAATAAGTTGTTCCTCCATTTCAATATCACTGCCTCCACTCTGATGGGTGTCACTGTTGTCACTACTTTGAGGGCTTGCTGCTGGTGACCCTAGTTCAAAATCACATTTCCCCGTTACTTTGTGAGATATATATAATTGGAGTGTAACAGCATTACATAAATGTCTCAAATACTGAACTCAACAGCATTCTTCCTGCAAACAGCTGAACAAGGGATATATCTCAAACAATCCATGTATCTAAACTCCAGAAATTCTTTTTAGAACACTAAGCATTTTGTTACAAAATTTGTATTCTTATCTCTCTTCTTGCCAGCATATAGCACAGCTATATGAATTTCATAGATTCTACAAGAAATACAATTTTCATTTGACTTCTCAAAAACATAATTTCAAACTTCTACTAGTTCTTCTTCTATTCAAAATCAATAGCTGTAGAAAAACATTGTAGTATCAAGCGTATCAGATTGTGATGTACTTTTAGAACTATACTTACAAGGTGAAGGGGCTGCTCTTCTGAGCTCCTCTTCTTCTGAAGGAAAAAAGCAGGATGGAAAAATAAATGACTAAAAATCTTTTTGTCAGCATACAGTTGTCCATGATTCATAAAAATCAGCAGTAGGAAAAGAAAGGGAAACTACAGTAAAATGGCTTGGCAGCACCTTTAGTAATGACTGTGGGGAAACACACAGTCAAATAAAAAAAAATAAATCGGCGAGAAACAGCATGTAATGTCAAAAACTAGGTAAAAATTAGATAAGCTTTTGTAAGAGTCTATGGAGCTATGTAATTTACAGATGTTCAGCAGAACAAGAATAGTTAATTGATCAGTTATGGACCATCCTCTGAATTAAAAAACAAAACAAACACCTACTTTAGATATACAAACAGAATTGATCCAAAATAGAAAGCTTTCCAAATGTGCTCACAAAGTTTTAATGTGTTCATCTTTATTCTCAACTTCTGCTTGAAAAATGTGCCAGCATGATACTTTTTCAAAATACTTCCAAGTAAAGAGTTCTATACATCCTTTTTGTCCATAGTCAACAGGAGACTATGAAAACTAAAGATTTAACTACTAGATCTATTGGAAAACCACATACCTTTTTTGTTTCCCATGGGTAGGTTGGTACTCAGTAAAGATGCAAAAGAGCTTTGTTTTGACAGCTGAGCCTTAGCTGCTAGTGCATTATTCCACAGTGCTTTTATAAGCATTGATGCCAAATACAAGGTCTATAAATAAAACCAGGTAACAGTGCCATTAAGAAGCAGCAGGTTTTGTATGCAAAGATCCACTGTCAATCTTTCCATATGCCAATACTACAGTTCACCAAAATAAACTCATCAAAATAAATGAATGCCCAAAATAATGTTGTGTGGAACACTTTTTAACTTCAGACATGAAGTTAAAATCCTCTATTAGTGCTTATGCAGTCTTCAAAAATCTCTGAAAAAGATTATAATTCGAAAGCCAGAAAAGGTCTACTTTAAGAAACATGACAACTTTACTCATACAGTTTCCTCTCTTATGCATTAGTGAATATCACTTTTACATGCATTCCTTTAGAAAGACAAAGACAAATCCATAATGCTTGTTTAATATACTAACATAATTTCTTTCCTCTTTACAGTGGTTTTGTGCAGTTCGTCTTTACCTGTTCGGTGTGAGCACTTGGATGAAGAGTTGAGACTAGGTTAAGAAGATGTCTAAGTGGGACAGGGTCCAAGTTTTTGATCAAAGAAGGAAACAAGTCATGTATGTAACGACTGCAATGCTTTAGCTACAAACACACACAGAAGATAACAAGAACAGCAAAATAAACTTAGAAATTCAAAGACTGATAAAATTGCAGCAATTAAACAACATCTTTGCACAAATTCTCAGGAGGCACTTGCCCAATAATTCCAAACTACATCAGACTTGCAATTTTGACTAAACGGAATTTTTAAATTACAAAGCATGTAAAGTTTAGTGAAATCAAATGTACCAATATATTCCTTTGTTCCAGTTCTAAGCGATTTGGTGAAGCGAAGAACTGGAAGTTTCTTTTGTATTTTAACTTAAATATCACTTCTAAATTATTAGTGTCTATGCTAAATCCTGAGGGAAATAATATTTGCAATGACTAGTTTATTAGCAGTAGTAAATACAAATAAAGACATTGCAGGCTAATATGAGACTGAGAGAACAGACTGTGTGAATTGTGTGAGGAGTATTTATAATTCTTTTGTCTTTCCAGTAATGGATATCAAAAAATATGGCAATATGTTTAGCTAACTATTCTATTTACACATTAAAGTGACAGCGCTCCTAGATGTTTCCTCCTAGGTTAAATGTTGCTTTTCATAGTCACTCAAAGGGTTTCATTATGTTTGTAAGCACGCTGATATTCAAAAAATAAAATGGTTACAGGAAGTTTCTAGAAAAAAATATTCTTAATGTTGGTTACCACATATGCTCCTCAAAAGGGCTTTTTTCATTCTTTCTTTATTTTATTTGGCTTTCCTGTCATATAAAATATCCATGTCAGCAGTTTATGAGGTACAGGCCATCTTTCACAGAATTCAAACTGGAATGAAATTATGTAGGTTCTACACAAGGATGCATTGAAACATCTTGAAATATCTGCCTCAACTCGGAGAACATAAATTTTTGTCAAAAAGTTAGTTTGAAAAGTGGAAAGTATATTCTTTAAGGCCTTCTATTCTTTTAGTCTAAGGGTGTCAGCCTTTTAAACATTAGAAGTTGAAACCTTTTACAGGAAGTAATCAGGACATACTTAATTCTGATATCAAACACATGTATTTTGAAAATATCAGTATGTCAAAATGAATGTGTGAATTGTAAAAGAATTACCTCATTCGGGCAATCATATTAAGCTCTTAAAGTAGTATAAAAGATAGAAAAAATCCAGAGGTGTAACACTAGTGTGAGTTACTGCATGTGTGAAAACATCAAGGAAGGTAAAATACCGCTTTAAAAATGTAAGTGAAATAAATTATTAATTACTCTGATACAGAAAATTGTTGGAGCCTATTATAGGGAAGGCTGTTTTAACGAGTGTTTATTAACATACCAGTTGCGTGTTACAATGACAACGGACTACAGAGGTTTCACAATGCATATACAGTAGTATTTGACTGAAACAAACTACAGAGAAATATTGAACAAATTAGAAAAAAAACCCTTCAAATTCTAACTTGTACAAAAGTATGTTCCGTTTTTTTTTTTTTTAAAATAATAAAGGCAGAATGAAACCATGGAAAAAACATTCCCATAACAGGAAATCAAAATGCCTACTGTATTCAAATCCCCTAAGCAAAAATTTCACAACTTTAAATAAAAAGCTACATTAAAAGTAGCAAACAAATAAATCTTTCTGAAGGAAAAAAGCCTATCAGAGTTTCCAGGTTTACCAAGCAAAAAAGAATATCTCAGTGCCTTCTATAGATTTTAACACCAGCACTGTAGCACAGCTGTAAACTTCACCGCCACAATTTTCACCTGATTGTTCCCATCAGGGGTATCAGAAATGGAAGCTACAATACACAGGAGCAAGGCAATTTAGCACAACAGTAAAAATGTTACATCTACCCTACAATCTTCATCCCCATTCTTAGTGAAAACACTATGTCCTTGCTATATAACCTCACTTTTTTTCTTGTATAAAAGTAGCCTAAGCGAATTGTTGCATCTAATAAAAAAACCCAGTAATTGCGGCCATTAGCTAGCTTAAAATTTTGGTCAGCAAAACACTCAGACAGACAAGAAAAAATAAGAAACTCAACTTTAAGAACATAAAACAAAATCAACTTGCCATTTTCTATTTTTTTGATCACTCCTGCAATTATAAAAATTCTATATATACCTGTGCTGCAGCCCAAATACAGTCTATATGTTGAGTACTAAGTCTCCCTTCAGCTGCAAGAAAATTCAGAATCACTTGGCACTGTTTGATGATCTGCAAAGTGAGAACATATTGAGGAAAGATTTACTAGAACAAGAAGTTACTCCTCCATGTTTGTACTAAAAATAATAATAATTTTATACAAACCTCAATATGTAAATTTGGTCCAAAAATGTGCTCAACTACATTGTTGCTGATAAGCCAGTCTGCAAGTTCTTTTGCAATTGACCTAGAGATGAAAAAAGAGTGGAAATATGTAAAATTATCTGCCTATAATATATATACTGTGCTCTTCCCTAGCACAGCATGTCTTTCAAATTAGTATCTGTAATTGTAGTAAGCATACGAGAACGTTTTTGAACACAAAGCCTACTCAACGTTCATTCATTCAGCTAGGAAGCAAACGATTTCCGTATTTTATTCTTTAGCTGGAAGACTAATGCCATATATCAACATTTCCCACTCAACCCTCTGGATCATTAGCAAACATATAACCAACAACTCTACCAATTCTATTAGTTAACAGAGCTCAACAGACCATCTGCAGTCAAAGACCTCAGAGGTAAGATTTTGACAAACACTGTTATTTAACCCAACTTTATAATGAAATTCCAGAATTGCTGAGTTCACAAATGCAGCTAAAGGTGGGAGTGAAAGAAACTATTTTTTAAAGAAAACCACTCAGGTATTTTTAGATTCTCTTGCACAAATAGCAACTCATGTAGCTTTAAAAAACCCTGTTTTACACAGTCACATTCAGACACATGTAGCATACAGATACTTCAAAATTCTCATTTTGTTTCATCCATAACAATAGGGAACTTTACTTGCTGCCAATCCATAAGCAAAGATTCGAACAGAACTGGACAAGGAAACTAAATTTTCCAAAACAAAAGTTGAACTTCCAGAAAGGACTGCCCTGTCTGGATACTAGTGCATAAGCTCCTTTGTATTCCAGATTTTGTTTACCCAGATTTTGGCACAAGAAACAATTAGAGGACATCACAGTATTTAAAGCACAGCCTGTCATTTAAATGGCCCTGGAATAAAAGTGCTCTGTTTCACAAGGAGGAGAGGGTGGGAGCGAGGCAGTGTCTTAGAGGACTATAGGAAGAATTATTTTTACCACTGCTATCTGTGTCACATTTATGGTGACTATTAAAATTCCAGGATTGCCTATATTTATCATCCACAACAAGAAAACAAGGTTCTTCAGGTAAACAGAGATTGCCTTTACTGGTTTTCCAAGCAGTAAAGCAGCATGCTGCCAGTTCTTCAATTGTTTTGAATCACCTGATCCCTACGGTTGAACTCGAGGAGCAAAGTTCCTATCACTCAACACCATTCCTATACTGTCCTCTTCTAATCAAATTCCAGGACATGGGGCATGAAATATTCTTAAATTGTTCAAAAAAAGATAATGTCCCCTAACATTTAAGTAATAACTGTCTTACAAGGTACAACAATTTACCAACAGTATCACTAATTAATAAATTAGTTCTCATATTGTAAAGTCAGTTTGACAAAGTATCTGCTCAAAGAGGGATGAAAAAGATAAGCCAGATCTGTTCCATGAAATCAAGATCTACTTAACTGCCTACAGCCTCACTTCAAAACAAAACCAAAACCCAACCACCACCCCCAACACTCCAAAGATGCCTACCCCAAACCAAACTTTGGAGCATGCACTTCACAGACTCATTCAGGGTTTAGAGTTCGGACTAACAAAATCCGAAAGACCACCTTTTCACATGCGAGCTGTGATTTTGCAGATCTTACAGCTAAAGGAATGTATTATTCATTTGAATATATGCTACCAGTCTCCTTCAGCAACAAACACGGCTCTAAAAAATGCTCTTATCCACCTGCCCCCATGCTGACAAGCACAAGTGACCATAGTGGCATTGCCCATAGAGCTCAAGAGACCATAGCTCTGTTACTCTTCACTTTATCAGACAGCTGGTAGACTTGATATTACAGATTCATCTTAAATCGCAAGTGCCCAACCCACACTCTGAAAACTGAATGCAGCCTGCAAAAAAGTTCCTTGAACTTACGACCTATTCGCCCTCAGCTCCTTCTTATGGCTTTATATTGCTTCCCCTTGCTATGGGCAGAAGTACTCCTGCTACATGACCAAAGCATAAGCAGAAAGCCTCATAGTTTGCATTTTGCATGTATAAAAGGTAGACAGGCCTGCTCACACGAGTGAACATACACCCACTAGACACTGAAGACCTGAATGGATGCACTTCTTGGTTATGAAATGTGAAAAAAATCATTGCATATGGTCCTCTGTAAGAGGCAAAAGCCGTAATACCTGACTCATAAGTCAATGGAGGTAATTTTGTTCCAGGACCACTTAATTTCTTCTTGGATCTGAATTTTCAGATCTGTAGCTTTCAGAATGAATCCCAGATAAACGCTGCTAGATTCACTAGGCGATGTTAATATGAAAAGACATAGTACTCAGTGTGTGTCTTTAAACCAAATACTTCTGCTAGTGGCACAATGTTCATTAGATATTGTATCCAGAGTCATATCTTGCATTTCAGCTACTCCAAAGGAAAGAACAAACACTCTCTTATAGAATGAGCTCCTTCACATTTTATTAAATTAGAATAGCAGTTCTCTATCTCTAATCTGCAACATTTTTCTTCTGAGAAATAATGGATTATTCTTTTGAAGGAATGCTTCCTTTTAATGGACGTATTCTCAGTGGTAAAAAAACTCTTTATCCTACTAGTGAGCTCAATTGCGATAAAATGACATCTCAGATTTCTGAAGGTAAACATTCATTTGATATGGATTTGTTGAGGATGACCAAAAACAAGAGGATCCTTGTGAAAGGCAGAATGCGGCCTTTGTTTTTCCCATAGGAATTGCTCCCCCCAGAAAGTTTTGTTGAGGGCACGCCAATCACTAAATATACTGCCTTTTAAAATGACAAAGTTCTTACCAGCACTAAGGTATTTAATTCTCTGATATACTAAGAAATATATTTATGGAGGCAGTTTCAAGGATTCACCAAAGAAAGCTAATTTCAGTGTAAATGAAGGATGTCTAACTTACTTCCTGAACACTTCCATTTCAGGAAATGTTTTTTCATCTGGTGGCTTTCCAGCTCCTTGATAAGTTTCCTCACTTTCAAACAGAGTGAGCACCTTAACTCACATGCAATTACAGAACTCCATACAAATCAAAATAAACTGCCAGCCTATAGATAAATAAACCTATGATTTAAGTTTGTATATCGTCACTTACCCCATTTTTACTTTAATAATTATCAAAAGCCCGATAGCCTGGAGAAATTTCAGATACATTCCAGTTCATAAAAATTTACTGAGTTCTGAGTTGCCACAAATAAGTAGGGCAACCTAGAATAACTTTTTATTAAAAGATTTGAAGTGTAATTTTCAATATTTTTCAATACAGTTTCATTTCAATTTCTAGCTATGTTAAAATTTCTTTCATATAGTCTGTATTTTTCATAATTCAAAAGTATTTTTTCATAGAGCAATTTGCAAATTATTTTATGACTATTACTATATGATATCACTACAGTTCAGGCAACTTAGCAAGAACTCAATTTTCAGTAATAATATGCTCAAATTTTCTTTTAAAGTAAGTTCTTCAAAAGGTTATAGAAAAAATTTCCTCCTTCATACTGAAGAAAACAGAGTGAAAAATATGCATTATGATCAAAGTATAGATATGCTTTTTCCCTCCAATACAAAAGTAGCAGTACAAAGAATGGCTTTACAAATTAGGTATCTAAGTCATACAGACCTTAGTAGTAAGAACATTCACCTTGGTAGTAACATGTATTAGTTATTTTTCACAGATTTAGTAATTGGGATAGCAAGAGGAAAGGTCATTTAAAGAACTTGATACTCTCTACAAGTCTGTGTTGTGAGAAAACAGTCAGAGTGAAAAATATGCATTATGATCAATGTATAGATATGCTTCTTCCCTCCAATACAAAAGTAGCAAGTACAAAGAATGGTTTTACAAATTAGGTATCTAAGTCATACAGACCTTAGTAGTAAGAACATTCACCTTGGTAGTAACATGTATTAGTTATTTTTCACAGATTTAGTAATTGGGATAGCAAGAGGAAAGGTCATTTAAAGAACTTGATACTCTCTACAAGTCTGTGTTGTGGGTGAGGGAGGAGGAGACGAGAATGAAAAAGTAGAGGTAGCAGCTACTCTAGTTTAATTGCCTCCGAATCTTTCCCACACTGGAAATCTATACAACATACTGGGCTAGATGATCTTTAGACTTAATCAATCTCTCCCTAGACTTTCAATTTAAATTCACTGATACTTCATGTCTGTCAAAAATAACTGTTTTACTTTCAAGAAATGAAATTGAAGCACTTTTGACATTAGTTTCCCCAGGCGTTCCATGAGCCTGCAGGGAAGAGAGCGGAAGCTATGCAGTTTGTGATATAACCTGATGTTTGTGAACTGTACTTATGATAGGCAAGTACTAGGGCTTGAGTGTTGTTCATTACTGTAAATAAAACTACCCAGAAGGAAACTAAAGTTTATGCATTTTCCTGGTAGGTCAAAGAATGCCTCTGTAACAGGACTGCGTTAAAGTCCTAGAAACATTTTAATCTAAGGCTGTGGTGCAATACTTGGTAGCCACATGATGACCCAGATCCAGGAACAAATCCTACAGCAAAATACCCCCCCCAGAGAAAACCTTATTTATCCAAGCAGTCAATTCCCAACACAATTCACCACGCAGCTACAAAACCACACCAGCTCAGTAGTGGATGAAATACAACAGCAAGTCAGGAACATCACTGAAAAACATAATGTAAAACCTTAGAAGAAAAAAAACGTAGCAATATAATGAGCAGCTTGCAAAGGATGAAGACTAACATTTCTTGAAAAAAAATCACAAATAATGGATGCAAAACACTGATCTCAACTATTTAGGATCAGAAATGCAAAGAGGATATAGCAGGCACCTTCCCAACACACATTCAAGCACACGTTTTTCTTTGTGAGCACACATTTTCCCATTTGACGCTCTGGAGGCTCCAAAACCACCACTCTGACATCATCTTGAATATTTATTAAACTACGCGTATGCCACCAGAAAGAAATATTAGTGAGCTGAGTGAAAAACTTTACTACTATTTTTTTTCAGAGAAAATCTGAAAAGATCCCTAGACTGCGGAATAGAGAGAGGGGAAGAGGCATTTAAATGATGCTGCCATAAATTCACTTGGTGAGCTTAGACAAAAATTGAGAAAGCAAGAGGTAACATGAGCTGAGAGAACAGTGGTGAAAGGAAAAAGCAATACAAAACTTCCAATTTAATATCTCAATAAATAAGGCAAGAGAGGGAAAAGAAAGGAGAAGAAATAGTCCAGATCTTTCTGTTCACAGGTGTAAGGTATTTTGGACACTTGAAATTAACCTGTAGGAAGCCCTTTAAGTGAGAGTAATCAAGTTTTTTAAATGAGGCAGGAGGTCATCTCAGCATCAACCTTAAACCTCAAACTCAAATTCTTGGCTGCCTGCCAAGTGAAGAGCACAACAAAATATCTCTTTACACATGTTATTTCCACTAGCTGACAGTGTTCTCATTAGGGAAGAAACAACACTTTTTCCTCTTGTAGTCCAAAGAGCACAAAGAAACCCCAAAAAACTTCCTCTCCCTGAAAGGCATGATCGTTTTTCACTAACCGACATCAGCAAAATAGTTTTAGGAATCACTGTTCAAAGACTTGAAGACTCTTCTGTTCAGTCTCGTTATTTTTAGCTTCAATAGATTTCATACTCCTCAGTACTTCAGATTGCAGAGAATTTGATTCTATCTTAAGAGCCAGGAATAGCTAAATTAAAAAAAATTCTGCTGCGTTCAAGTACAAATTGTGAAATTCAGTGTTTTCCTACACAGAAGATGCTTTAGCTTGTCGTACCATGGAAAAATTTGCAACCATGCAGCTAAAGGTGGGAAGCTACCGTTGCAAAGCATTTGCTAAAAAATCCTGATGATACTTCCAAACAAAAGGGAAGCGCTAGGACTAAGTGATAGCTGAGGTTTTTTTTTAAAAAAATACCTCCCGCAAACCCACCTTATCAAGATACAGAAGGAGAAATCCCAAAGGTTGACAGTTCCAAATGCATCTGGAAAAGTCAAAACACATAATGGGGATGACCAGACATATTGCAAAACATCTTCCTTTGATAAATCTGCAGAGGCTATAAAGGTACAAAATAAATCTTAGACTTCCTTTCTCCACTAAGGAAAGAGAACGGGAATGAAAAGCTTTCCTTTTGCTGCTCATTCAATCACTGGCAACTCTCTGAGTGCCTTCTCATCCAAAAATTTCTCATGAAGAGTCTCTAATGAGAGGGAAGGTTTGTACCGAACAAACTGTAGAAGTGAGACACTTTCCCCATCCCTCTGCACCAGCCTTTTGATTATTTGGCTGGAAGAAAGCAGGGATTCCAAAAGATATCTGAAGAGGAGCAGCAATACTTGATGCTGATTTGTACCCAACTTCTCAGGTAAAACATTAGAATGACTGGAATTCAGATTAAAAAAAAATCACATACTACAACAGTGGAAAAGAAGGTCTTCTGTTCATGCTGCATTCCTTTCAAATGACAGGCTGTTTACCGATGCCCTTGCCAAGAAAGAAAGATCCCAAATGAGAATTTGACAATTTCCTTCAGCTTTAAAATAAATCTGATGTTCTTGCAAGTACATCTGCTCTTCTGCAGGGAAATTTAAGCACTCTTCTCTTTTTCCCCTGTTGATAACTTCCCTTTTTTACATTTGACACAGAAAATCAAACAGCTTTTTACTAAGTTTAACTGGTGCAATAACTTCTTGTTAATGTTATTAATTAGTTACCACTAGTTCAAAAACTATTTCTTTCACAATGTCTTTGAGAAGAGAAACTAACCAAGAAACACCTCAGTTTCAGATTTTCAACATGAAGGGAGGAGGAGAAGAAATGGATAAAACGGAGCAGTCCCAGTGTAAGAATACACCACAAACTGGCAGTACAATATTGATAATATCCCAGCCAACCAAGCCACCTCACATCCTCAATGTGTTATCCTCCGGTAGCATTTACTTCTACTGCTACAGAACTAGAGGCTTTGGAAAAAAAGCAACACCTCTCCCAGGGCACAAAATACATAAATAATAATTATACGTAAGTATATATTATATTAATATAATATATTAAAATAATAAATGTGATTACTTTTACTACAATAACATAAATTTTTTTAAATGTACATGAGCTTAATGACATTACATTCAGGTTTCACCAGAGCATAGTAAGACATTTGTGTCATACTTGACAAGAATTCTTTAATTTTTTTCTGACACTATATATGAAAATTTACTTTGAAATAAATGGATAGCATGGATTCACATTGACCTCTTGATTCAGTGACAAAGGACAAGAAAAAGTTGATCACAAGTCGTTATTTCTTTTGTATTCTTAAAGTGTTTTCATATCTTTATGGAATCAAAACTGCCTTAGATTCTGATTCTTTATTTTTAAAATATCAATCTATTACCATAAATTTAGTTTTAAATATTCCAGTTGTTATTTACATGAAATCTACAGTATTGTGGTCTTGACTGCTGCCAAATTTCAGCAAGCAGGTGTTAAAATAAAACCATCTATAATAAAACTATCCAGACAAAAAAGCAAGCCAACTGCTGCTGTAACAGACTTCTCACCGATGAGCAAAAGATAGTGGAGTGTGTGTGTTTGCAGTGAGACAGAGACGCATGTGGATACAACCCCCAAGATAAATGTAAAGAGTATATCACACTCCAAGATAAATGTATAGAGTATATCACAAGTAAAATCCTAGATTTTACATATCTTTCCTATATTTCAAAAGAACAATTATTTCAACTACCTAAAGACGTACTTTTGTCTAAATTCTAGATAGTTCTAGCATTAAGTTTAGAGTTACTACAAAAATCAATATATTTCCTCACTGGAATACAATCCCACACATGAATCTTCTCGAAGATTTATGGCAGCCACCTTTAGAATTGTTAAACACATCTGAAGAAAAACAATAAATAGCATAGCCTCACAGACTCAGCGCAAAACTAGTAACAAGGCTGGGAGCACTGACGGCAAGGCAAGTCTTAGTTAACCAAATAATCAGGAGAAACGAGAAGATGGCAAAAATTTAACTTGGATATTAATTAGCTGGTTCTTATTTATACATCACAATGGAGATAAAGGTCTGATATAGGTATGTATTATTTCAGTATCTACATTTTTCTAAAGGTTACCTTGACTCTCTCTTTTAAGACAGTAAAAAATCCAGAAACATTCAGAAATATTTTTAAAGTCACCACTTAAAACCATTTATTAAACCCATGATTAGAATATTTCTAATAAATGCCTCACATTATCACTACTCCACACTGTGTATAATCCAGAACAAAAATACAGCAGAATTGCAATCATATAGCACACTTAAAGTATTCATAATAATGTTCCTACTTACGTTTCTGTGTCTGAAACTAATGATTCATTATTACACACATCATTGAAGGTATGAAGTTGGTTCTATAGTCAGAAAAAGGAAGAAAAAAAATTAAAATTTTATCTAAATATTTTGTGAGGTAGTTTTCTTATATTCAAAAATAGCATTAGTGACGGTAAACAAATTTTTCTAGAACTTTCAATGTTTTTAAATAAATCGCTTTGACAAAAATTTGAACAGACATTCTAGTAGGCAAGAGGAATTAATTTTCTTTTTTAATCCATCTTTCTTTCACTAAAGCAATTAAATGATGTTACAAAACTCCACCCACTCCAGAAATCAAAACAAGGTGTGTAGCAGTCACTTTGCACATAGGTTTTCATGAGAAATGAAACACATACTCTGGAAACTGATGTTTTAGGATGAGTTTCCCCATTATTGTAAGGTTTACTACAACAGCAAAGATTATTTTTTTTGTGTTGAAAGTCTACAAAATTGGAGAGTGAAAATTACATATTTTTATATCAAATGAAGTTTTCAAAGGTATCTGAACTGATAAATTCAAGACATCCCAAAGAAAAAAAGCCTGTTAAAGGTTTACATCTCTTTTCCACCCTTCTCCTCAGCATCAACTTTCCAAATACAGAGATGGCTCTGCATCCAATTCTTTACACATACAAGATTTTTCACAAATATTTAAAATTATGCAATAAAACTTATTTGTCATCTTGTTTTCAAAAAAACTGAAGACACAGTAATGTGAATTTTCGAAACTGAAATTAAATTTGTTGCATAACTATGAAAATATTTTGCTCTTTTCTTTCTTGAAACAAGTCTGGTACATGCAGTCTACAATTTGGGTGACAGCTGATCTCCTGCAGTCTTTACACAAAGATTTGTGTCCAATCTCAACAATTTTCATGCAGAAAAAATTTTTTGAAGAAACAAAATTGAAAATCTGCATTAAAATTAGTGAGACGTGACAGCCTGATCACAAAATTATTAATAGATAAATTATTAATAGATACTTTCAAATGAAACATATTTACAAGTGGAAAAACATGTGAACAGAACTTCACGAAGAAATCATTACGACCAATTAGAATTGGGTCAAATAAAGAAGTGGAAGTTCACTGGCTTTTCTGAAGAGCTGTGCCCCAACTAAAAATGTTCTGAAAGAGATCAGAGAGTGCAAGAGTACTGAACTGTTAATATCACCCATTTCAAATCCATGGTCACATGTTGATCCAAGTTCCCCATACAAAATCCTTATCCAAAGGATTTTGACAAAAGGTGTTCTTTTTCATACTGGAATTTTCAAACCATTTTTACAATAATTTCAACTGAAGTCTTAGAATTCTGACACAACAACGCAAACCAAAGTACACATGGGAGAGTGTTGCACCACCTTATTCTCACACACCTCCCAACATTTTTCTCACTTCATATTTTGTTACCATGAAATGCCAGAGGGAATAAAATACTTTTACAGTTTTTTACCATACATGAAACATTGTAAGAAGCTAAAGATGCCTGTGCCCAGACACTCAATTAATGTAACACAAATGTGTTAGTTATGAAATACAACAAAGGTATAAATTCTTCAGCAAAGAAAGTTGAGAACAAAAAGGCATCTCCCTAGCTAGTCTTGTCTCAAGACCCAGACATCAAAGGTCATTAAACTTTCTACATTGGAAACCAATGCAAGAAGAATAAATATGCACTCTTAAGTTTTGCACTGAATTTGTTCAGGAAAAACGTAACAATGTCACATTTGCATTTTCACTAGTGCACAGAACCAAATAAAAAGGGGTTGAAAAACTGAAAGTGGAAGGATGGCCAGATCAGTTATGAGCATTCATTTTCACATACTTAAGTTCATCTGTAACTGGAAGGACAGGAAAACCGAGAGTCCTATTTGTGAGGGAACAGTAGAGAGAGAAGAGTGTATTTTGGAGCTGAACCACCTCAACACATGACTGGGAGATGAAATCAAAGACAAACAAGGTAACAACAAAAATAAAGCATCAGGTATATCTTGGTTTACAATTTGCACTTCTTTTCTGTAGCTATTTCCAACTTCATATTCAACCACTCAAGCTTCCACTTTGCTAAAATTAACTTTCATGTATCTGTCTTCAACGTTGTTTTGTAAATAAGAACTTTAGTCAGATGATATGACACATTATGTATATGCTGCTCTTCAAGGAAGGCAAGTCTATATTTGGTAGTAAGCAAATATAATCCCTGTATGCCATACAGCATGTATTCTGTCAGTCTCAAGAGGTTCCACGAAGCAGAAAGATTTAATTTTAGGACTGGTCATGTTAGCTGTCAGACAGAAAAAAAAAAAAAATCTCTTGGCAGACACAAATCAACACCTCCATATTAGAAGACATTCATCTGTTTAGATTGATGGATATTTTTGGTCAACAATTTCTGTCTCCACAATGACAGCAAAAGTACATTTATCTTGCAAAAGGAACAACTAGGCAAGTCACAGATATTATTTGATCAAATCTATTAGGTTTACAGTTGGACTCAATCTTAAAGGTCTTTTCCAATCGAAATGATTCTATGATTTCAGTCTTGATCTTATGAGTGAAATTAGAAATTTGCATGTGAGTCAACTTTCCATATGAACTTTCAGAAGAAATTTTTCTTTTAAATAAAGTATATATTGAAAAATTCACACTTTAAAATATTTTGCACATAATTTTGCTTAAAGTTTTCCTTGAATCTTCACATCTATTTGCAAAATGAAATGAAGATTTGCTTCAAGGATAATGCTCAACTTTTGGCAAATGAAAGTCCAGGAAAGGAAAACATTTTGCAGTTGCAGGTATCGTAGTTCTAAAGTCTTGAATACAAAACAGGAAGCTGTTGGTTGGGAAAAACATTTCAATGAAATTACTTTGACAAATCCTAGACATCAAAGATGTGAACAGAAAAAAGGAACTTCAAAAAAGTAGTCATGAAGGTACATCTGTAATAGAGAAGTTTATGTGAAAATACTAACGAAGCTGAACTACATTACATCTTTGTAAGCACATCTTTGTTTACATAGTGGACAGAAAACTTCAGTAAAGAGACAGTTAAAATTTCTGTGAATTTTGGTTCAGATTTCACACTCCAAGTTTCACAGACCTGGCAATTAAAGTTGTTCCAGGTAAGGCATACAAAAGTAAACGAAGCAAAATGCTTCTCAAACTCAAAAGTAAAATAAAAAAAATCAAAAGAGGCTTCTTCCAAAGATATCTTTGTAAGATTTTTACAAAGAGAACGAACGAAGAGAAAATTTCCTGTGATTTGAATGAGAAAGAACAAATTGTCTCAGTGTTCCAGAGCAGTTTTAGAGACTATTCATATAAAAAAAGACGCAATAACTTATTAACAAACAATATTCCATTTTTTTACAAGCTGAAACCGATTTGCTTTAGTCTAAAAATACTGTAAAATTTTGCTTCTGGTAATACATGTCTATCATTAAAAATCTCACTTTTACAGTCATATTTATCAATCATAACAGGTCAAAACACATAACTACCTAAAATTACACAATTTCACATTCCCTTAAATGAACTACATGCCTGAAAAAATAAAAAAAACGATGCATTCTTATTTTCAGACTTTCTTTTGGTAAGGATACATGAAAAGATATACATCAGTAGTTGAACAAGGACAATTGTACAAAACCAAAGGATGGCACTTATAGGAATAAAAATCTAATGTAATTGGAACTATGCAAACATTGGTAATTTACTTTAAAATCAATGATACTGAAAATGACATTTTCCAAAACTGTGCAGAATTAAAAAAAAGGAAGTTACTTTTATGCCCAGTTAATGGCCACATTTTAAAATGCATCTGCCAGGTATTATGAGGTATCTATTACTGTGTAAGTAATAAGGCACAGGGCAATGAAAAATCAAAATAAAAATATATACTTTCACCTAAGACTTCATCAACTCTCTGAAGTTTTCTTATTACACAAAAAGAACCCTGAATATTCACTTTATACCGATTAATTATGACAGAAGATTAGAATTCAGGCATTGAGTATATTATATGTAGCATTCATATGAAGTCATACAAATTACTGATGTATATAAATTATATTTACAGTAATGTCACTATTTCTTCCAAAAGCTGACATTCTCTGTATTGTGCTTTAGCATCTCTACTGGGTGAACTGCATTATGTTTTCATTCATATAAATGCAAAACTGAGTGGACAATGCACTCAAGTCCAATAAATGCAGTTACCCTTAGAATAGCATTTGATTAATACTGAGTGGATGTAGTTCACAGACCTTTTTTTTTTAACTTACAGGTCACATACTTATGTAAATTAAATATTTACTTTGGTTAAAAACCACCAACAATCTGACCAGAAATACTTACAGGTTACTTTGAATTGGCATTTATTAAAACAATTATAAGTACTGCTATATATAAATACAGTGAGAATCAAAATCAAGTTTAAGTAAACTTTATTTACTGACAGTCATGAAGAGAGTCACTGACTGATACTACGTAATCAGTTAGAACACAGAAGGCCAAATGTGTTCAGAAAATGCCACAAAACTTAAGGAGAACACTTTTGTTCATTCTACTATAGTTTGTTCTTATTCATCATTTTGTGCATTAAGGCAAACACGACATGAGCTACAAATCTTAAATACAGCAATATGAGAAGAAACACAAAATTGAAAAGGCTCAAATGAATGAAAACTTCACTTTTGACCTCTACAACTGTCTATCCATGGCTATAATACGCATGTGGGAAGCAATGACAAAGGATACACAACATATCTTGACTGGTGTAAAGTGAAGCATTTCCATGGGAAAGAGAAGGGTGGGGTTTTTTGGTTTTAATCTATTTCTGTTTGATGCTATATATATTTACGTCTTCTGCTAATTAATGCAGAAATGCTCTTTCTTGAGAAACAGACCATACTAAACAAACAGGAAAAAGAGGTATGTACAATACAAAGAAGCAGCTAATTACAGTAGAGTCAAGACACTGTGAAGGTAAAAACGAAAATAGATTGAAAGCCATTGTAAACAACAAATATAGCCAGATCAAGGGACTTAATGTCAACATAGTTGTCACAAAACACGGTTATAAATTCTGTTTAGCACGGTAAATTGTTCAGGAAATGTTGTTCCATATGCTACAGAACACAGCCATCGCTTGGACTTACCTCAGTGAACCCTATATTCACAATCCTGACTATCATTTCCTAAGACTGCATATAAGAGGATTCTGCTGTTTTCACACATGAAAAAAGCCCCCAAAACAAGTCCGTAACTCACAAAACACAAAAAGAAACATTTGTATTTAAAATATTATTTATATTTTTAAAAAGTTCTTACTGTTATTTGACTCAGCCCAGCCAATCTCATTGTTAGAGTTGGAGACATAAAGTATTTAAATGCAAGATCAAGACTTTCTTTATCAAAACACAAGGCTGTATCCAATGGTTCTTTAACTGTGCTCCACATTAAATCTGCCATGTTCCGGGCTGCACTCTGTCGCAACTCCTGGTCTGACAGTTTACATAAATACCTAGAATAAATTACAAATGGAAGAAAAAAAAAAAAAGGGGCATGATTCAAACTAGAACATTCCTGGAACATCATCTTCATTACAGCAAATATATATTTCCAACAGCTGTAAGAGCACCAAGCCTTGAAAGACCACTATCAAAAGTTGGCAACAATAAAAAAAACACCAAGGAAAAACAGAATTATGCATAGTATTTTTACAAGTAAATTAATTTCTTATTTTAAACCTCTTCAGATTTCTTTCATTCCACAAAATGACAGGAAATCCATGGAGTTCTTCGGAAATGTAGGTTGGAAGCCTAAATCTCCTATCTGTTTCATGGGAAGGTGCCCCCTCCAGAGAGCTGCTTCACATTTATTTACTTTATTTAAAACTGAAGTGTCATGATCCGCTTAACATATTAATATACTATGAAACTGAATTTCTGGAAACAGTGCCAGTCGACCACAAACTGAACGCTCTGACAGTGAGAATACCCTGAAGATTAATACATCCCTGTTTGTGGCCTCAGTCACAGAACAGAAAAAAATTGTAATTGTGCAATGATGTTCTGATACAATCAGAGCAAATACAGAACATGCACATCTCTTCTGCCATAACCATACACTGTATGTATGCTTGTACATCAGTACTCCCTGTGCCACAGCACTGCTTTTGCAACAGGTTAGTACAAGAACACATGCCCAAGTTATTTCTTCTATTGACAGCGATTATGATCTTTAAGGACGCGTAAGAAGCACCACCAAGGACCCCAGGAATCTTACACAGGAATCAAAAATGCTGAAGAATTTTAAACAGCTAAGTTCTTCGTACTGCAGACATCTTAGATAAGGGGTCATCTAATCATGCACAATGCGTCTTAATACAGATATTCTCTGCAAATGTGACGCAGAAGAAATAACCATTTATAAAAACTAACTTACAGAAGCTAGCACAACCTTAGTCTTACCTAGCAACTACAAGATCATGATACACCAAGAAAATCCATGCTGAAATGCCTGTAAAGTTCACATATAAAACACTGGCACTGTTGATAATTTCTTCTAAACTGAATGCATAAGAGAAACATGTTTAGAAACAGACTTTCCTGAGCTTATTAAAAGGAATTAAAGATTGCACAGTGAAAGGTACATGAATACAAGGTGAGCACAACTGATTTTTCCTGCTGTACTTGAGCATTTTGAAGTTTCAACTACATACAAACCAGATTTAACTACCCAGAAACATGTTAAGAATCCGTTTGTTTGACAGCCTAAGCCTGGATCTATCCTTAGAGATCAGCCAAGCAGATGCACGAATCTTTTAAAAAACACAAGAGAGATTAAACTACACTTAACTAGATTTATGCACTATTCCTTTGCGTTTACATCATATAAACATCAGTAAATTTTTTTTTAAAGCAAAAATGCAGGCCCTGATTCTTATTTAGATTGAGACCCTTTTTCACAGCTCTTGTGTAGAGGCCTTAAAATAAACACACTTAAATGATACTTAACATTGTCAAACACAAAAGAGAGACTTCAGTGCAAATAATCATAGAGACTCTAGATCTACGATAGAAATCACAGATAAGTAACCGTAGGACAAAAGAAGGACCATTCAGGGCCAAGGCAATCAGATCTTTCACTGTTATTAACTGTGAAATTTGTCTTCTCATGTGGAGCACTGGAAATCAGATCATGGCAAGAAAGTAATGCTTCTGTGCTATGATTTCTAAATAAAAGAAAAGTAGCAACAAGAAGGGAATACTCATTTGAACAAGTTCAGCAGCAAACAAGACCCAGTGACCTATCTTTAACCTACAGACAGGCGACAGGAGTTATACTGATGAAAAAATGCACTGGTCCATGTTACAAAACATAATAATCTCAATATGACTATCAGCAACCTCAGACCAGTTTTTATCTCCCCATTTTTATATGCAAACTATAACCAGCCCTGGTCCTCAAAGCTTTTCAATGTTCATACTGCACATCAAGTCCTACTCAATTGTTTTGTACAGGATTTCTAAAGATCTCAAAGATGTTCACATAAATTATGTGAATTTTCTCGTTTTACATAGGACAGATAAAGAGTGCTCGTATGCAACGGACAGGTGGGAAGGGACACATCTACATATACAGAAACAAGGGTGCTTTTGTGGCTTCACTAGATTTCTGTAACAGGACTTTCACCTGAAATCTTCCTCACACTAGAAAGTTTGGTGAAGCAACTATACTAACCTAGTTTTACAGAACAAAATATTTTTTATTTTAATGCAATAGTATCAGCATAAACTTACTTTCATTCATAAAATTCACACTACAACAACATTGTTAAGGTTCTTTCAGCACGTTTAGTGTATTTAGTCCAAGCCTGAATCAGACTTGTGTCATGTCTTCTGTATTATAATATAATTAAGAGACAGCGTTTTAAAAAAAAATCCAACTTTATAATAACTGAAACTAGCGGGTAGGTGCATTTTCACAGTTACAGCACTTCAACAGTATAATCTGTTTCGCCAAGGCCCTAAAGAAAGCTATAGAGAAAAGAACACTTTTTACTTGTTAACCTGCCTCCCAGGTTTTTTTTAACACAGCTGGGTTATTCTAACCAGGCACAGTATAAATGTAGAAGACAGCACACTTGCCTTTACAAGTACAACTACATCTACACTAGAAAATTTATTGGCACTACTACACTGGTTGTAAATCAAATATGATCATATCTTTATGACCAGGATTAAAACTATAGAAATTTGCAGAGTAGACCAAGCCTGATTTTTATTGTGGAAAGATACAGTGGCTTAAATCCATCTGTATCAGCAAACTAGGTCCATTTTATGCTTTTACGAGTAGAACGTTATTATTAACAAAAAAGAAGTCTTTAGCTAGCACCGGCAATTAACACACAACTTTCCTTACATTGACTAACTGTAAATTTGCTGCATTGCCTTACATAAGAACAGTGATACCAGAGAAAGGCAAAAGGTCTATTTAGCCCAAAATAGCCACTCCAAAAGCAGATGAAAGATTTATCCCATACATAAGAAAATGGATGAACCTATCTACTGCTGTGAATTCATTTATCTATTTCTATTTATACTTTTAGCTTTCTCGTTAACCTATGCCAGTTAGTTTCACAATTACGTTCACATGAAAAACAATCTGCTTTCATTTTTCTCTTAAGTCTGCAACCTGGCAATAGTATGGCATGTTCTCTGTTTCTTGTTTTTGAAAAACTGTGAATGAATTATCATTCCCTATTTATTGTCTTTGTATCACTCATATAACAGCCATCTCCCTGTCAAAAAAAACCCTAGACTATGTCTCTCCTCCTATCAATGTAATTTTTTATGTTCTACCTTCGTCACCCTTCCTATCACCTAGGTAGTTCCGTTATTATCTCTGTGAGATGGAGCAATCAGAACTGCATATAGTACATAAATGTGAATATGTGACTGATTCATATAATGGCTTAATAATAGCTTCCATTCTGTCCTTCATTATTTTTTTTAATTCCTAAATTTTTATCTTTTTGATTCTGATAAGCATTAAGTCTTAAAGGAACATATGAATGATACTTCAGGATCCGTGTAATCTAGTAAATTCGACATTTTTACCTAAATGAGACTTTTGGAAAGAAACATACCACTTTTTATACATATACATAAAGGATAGTCTATATATGTATAGGACCTGTCGTGCCAGCCTGGCACACTTAAAATAATCAGTGAATATACATTATCTACATTTAAGCAACATATATACATATATGCTAATTTTTAAAAAATCAGTTTTAGTCTACTGAAACTATTTAAATTTGCTGTATTTGGGGACAGGGAGAGTTCCGTTTTAAACGTGCAGTTCCATGTTAATGTAACGCTTACAATCATATCTGATGCTTCAGGACTTCAGCTACTCAGCTGTGAAATAATCTTTTTTCCCTTAATATGACTCCTTTGGATCACAGCTGCAAAAGAGATATCTAGCAGAATGAGTCAGCGCTCCTCAGTGATATGAAGAATTTACTTCCGCGCCTGGCTATTGTCTCCTAACTTGTCTATTCTTTGTACCTACAGCATAAATGTTCAGATTTTGGGAGGAGTTAAATATTTTTTGCAACTGAAAACTTCAAGGCTTATTATAACAGTTTTTCATGACATTTAGTAGCGAGGAGTGGTCTTGGGCACTGCCATAAAACCCAAATTCTTAAGAAAAGTATTTTTAAGCGGAAGAGTAATCTGAATTCTTTCAGCTGCAATCTCTTTCACTGTATTCCACAGGAAGCATCGTGGATCAACAATTCTGTTTGTAGCTTCCACTTCCTCTGTATATACCAGTGCTATGCTTGTGCCCTGTGCCGAAACTACATGGCTAACACAGGAGCAACTGCCACTTGCAATTTCCTCTCCATGTGCTTGAGCACAGAATGTTCTGTTTCTCCTTAACTGGGGCAGAGACATGAATCTTTCGTAAAAATTCTATCAAGATCCATCTCGAAGTGGGAGAGAGGAAAAAGGGTGGGAAAGAGAAAAGGTTAGAACTAAATATGATATTGGTCAGTGCTAATGCTACTCGGCTTTCAGATTTTACCAGAGGAACATTAAGTAGGTGATACCAACTGTGATGTCAAAGAAAGAAGAATTTTAGGCCTTTTCCTTCATACTATCCATCACTTTTTGGTGATTTATAGAGGTATTTGCAATATCAGACGTACAACTTTATCTCTTACTTCTCATGAACTGGACTTCATTGCTAGTCATCTTGCTAAAGGACAGAACTACCCATGATGCTTTCAATCATCAATCTTGCCACTGAAAAACACTGTTGTCAAAACACCACCGTTTATAGCTACTGCTCTCGAGGCATTCAGTATCTGGAACCATGTAGAGCATCTCTCATATCTGATCTTGAGGTGGATGTCAGATAGAACCAATGTCTTTATAAAAGAGACACCATCAACAACTTCCCCTCATTTATAATTGCAATAAGTTATGACTTATTTTCTTCAGTCACTTTGTCAATAAGTCTCTTCTTTTTTTATGAGAATTTTGCAATTTGAAATGCAGAATTCTAAGGTATTAGGATCAATAAAAGCTTTCTTCTGAGGAGGTCAAAACCACTTGGCTTCCTTACTGAAAGATGTAATTTTTAATTCACGTCCTTTATTTCTTTCCTAAACTGCTTAAAAACACAGGCCCTTCAGAGGCAAGATATGAATGCTAGTGCTCCATTCCCCAGGCAAAAAATAACATTTATTAGTCTTTTTTTCAGTAGTAGCAATAATGACAGGATTGTGTCTATGATCTTTGCAAATCCCAGCAGTGGTCTCCTCTACACAAATACACACCTTGCTATTCATTTTATCCACTCCTAGTAGAAATAACCACAGAACAGGAACATAAAGGTTAACCTCATCTGATAAAAGATGCTGCTAAGATGCCAGTCAGATGCTCTCTCTTTCTGCTTATGCTGATCAGCACTCCAAAAGGCAGTTCTTGCAAGGAACCTCCATGAGCAGCAACTCGGACTAACAGTCCAATAGAGACCCAAGAGCTCATTCTAGTTTAAAAGCCTCTCCAAGCCCTCTTTTGTCGTTTGCGTAGCAGCAAAAGCTATTGCAGGATTTCTTTCAAAAGTGTTGTGCGGCTGTGCCCAGAATTGTTTGCCTTTTTTATTTTTCATAAAGTAAAAAGCAGATGGAAACCTAGAGACCCAAGCTGCTAAGATAAGATCTATAAGCTTGACAACCACATGAGGTGAGTTGCATACATCAAGAAAGTAATCTTTTACCAAAGGTATCTGTGTTAACTTCTGTCCCATATAAAGGTATAGCACTAGAGATTTTTTTTGTGATATGGCGTCCAAGCTTCATGTCCCACTCTGTAAGTGCATCTTCAAAAAAAAAAAAACCACAACAAATCTTTGGATTTTATAATGCTGAGAAATCCCAGATCTCCCATTAGCATTCAGTTGTGAAAATCAGAAACTGGGAGAACATCCCTTTCCTTCTCTAAACTGCTAGTGTTTTCCATAGATGTATCCTGTATCAATATTACTGTTCTGATTGACATGAACGGATTGTAAATGCTAAGAAGAGACATCAAGGGCACTATTTATGGCAAGAAGCTGCTGACAAATCACATGTCAAATCAGACGCAAATATTCTGTGGGTAAAGAGGAAAAGATGAGGAGAACACAGGAAAAAAAAAATCTTCTATTCATTCCAGTGACCCTAATTACACCTACAGTTATAAAACAGAAAATGCTTTAAGAATTATAGGATGACAAGCAAGTGAGGATTAACAGCAAAGACTGCAGGCTGTGTTATTGTGTCTCACTCAAGTTCCTTCTCATCAGCCTATCTCTAATTGTTGATCCTTCAACGCCCTTTTTAATTTCCATACATCACAAGAAGGTAGGTAAGGCTCGTGAACCAAATTTCCAGGTGCACACACAACCATTAATGGAGTATGTACTGAGACAAGAACCTCTGCCTGTCCTTCCTAGACTGCTTCATGATTAATAATTACCTTTATAAGATTTTAAAGATAACACATTAGCATTAAAGCAGCGCAGACGGCTGGACTGTAACTCAAGAGTGATATGTTTTAATAAAAGATCAGAATACTCTTCTCTCTGCTGATACCATTTTGGTAGAGACAATGTTATAGCAAGACAGATCAATAGCCAAGCCAGTACTTAATTTTTTTACAGTTAAAATTCTTTACAATTAAAACATGAAACATAGTCCTGGGCCTCATTGTTCTGTGCACTTTTTTGTTGCCAATATAATTATTTTTGTTAAGAGTGTGATTTTATACTGGTATAGTTAAGACAATATAATCTGTAAAGGCACGTTTATTGCTATCAGGGAAGTAAGCTATAACCAGTATAACCACATTTCTAGTATTACAGTTACGGGAAATCCAGAGCCTTGGAGGAGCTGTGGGTCCATGCAAGAGCAGTGGCCTTTTAGGTTGCCTGCACGAGACAAGTTTAATATTGGGCCACTGGAAGGAGAATTATCTGTGACCACACCCCTCCAGCTCCAGGCAGATACACACACACACAAGATAATTTGATTTCATCAGCAGCTCACTGGATTTTTTTCTGCTGTCCTGAGAAACACAGTAAAAATAAATTGCTTGTATAATTAAATATCTTTATAAGTACTTTAATTTTAAAGTGTTTTTCATGATAGGTAGCTTGATATAAAGAAAATCTTTGGCATTGGATATATTTAGATACATAAAAGTGCGAGTAGACTTTTGATCACACTTCAGTTCCTGCCAGCTGGAAATACAGAATATAAAAATGTGAAGCAGTGTTAAAACTCAGTGAAACTCAGTATATGAAATCTCAATCACTACATATTGCTCTTCTCCTTACATCGTCTCATGGTAAATTTTATGCAAAGTTTAATGAAGATACTGTAGTAGGTGAAACTGTATTACAATCGAACCTGACGCGACATGTCAGAATGGGGCCAGATGTCACACTGAAAATGCTATTAACAAGATCGACCTGATTGATACTGAAATCAGACAGATGTAAAGAGCTGCCCAAACTAACTCTAAACATTACCTTCACTCTCCTTGTCGAAATAATGCAGTCAGAGTAACAACTTGAACAATTAAAAGTGTATCAGCCAAAATTATAAATAGGTGCTGTCAAAAAGTCCCACAAGAAAAATTCTTAAATTAAAAATTTACCTGATAACATAAGTCCTAAAGGGTATAATGTGCTGCATGACAGCAGGGATGTGTAGCCATATTCTGATCTATAATGCAAAAACATAAATAGATAAAAATTTCATTAATGACATTTAATGAGAATGGTAAAAAATGAAATATTGCTGGTACATTCGCACGTGCAACCCCACTTTTAAAAAAGTTATTGTTTTTCATTCAACTTCAATTCTTTCAATTTCTTAATTTTCTAATTTTCAAAACTGTTATCTGAGGAATACTTCTGTGACTTATAAACAGGAGTTGCATCTTTTCTTCTAGTCAACTGGAAAATATAAACTTTGTATAAATAGTATCATGCTGCCCAGATGGCTTGTTTTTGTATTTTCTGTAGTTTCTTCAGTTACTCAGCCTTGTGGGGTTTCTTTTTCCTTTTTCTTTTAAAGTGTACAGAAAATGATTCCGTTCTTTCTGTTCCTTGCAAATCTCTCCTACACCAAGTAAAGTTATTTGATTTGTGTTGATGTTTTGCTTCTTAGGGCTTATATATTCTATAAAATAAAGTTATGTTTTATAACCAGTGATTAAGCACAGGTTTTTTACTACCATATTTGCATTCCCATATTTACCATTCTGCCTTCACCACCTTTCCAAAATTGTATGCAGGAAAAAAATGTGTGCAGAGAAAAAAAAACCCTGAAACAGCTATTTAGCACCGCTGTGAGGAAAAGAGGACCAACCAAACTACTTACACAAGCAAAGTTAGAAGTTCCATCTGCATTTCAAAAAGGAATGCTGAGCCTGTTAAACCTGTTACAGAAAGACAACTACTTGCCAGGTAAGGGATCTAGCATAGATGAAATACTAGCAGCGGTTACTACTACCCACATAATTTTAATCGTGTGCGCACACAAACCTTGTGAATAGCTAACACTCAGTTACTCAAAGCTATCATGTCAATTTACAACTCCCATGTTTATTTTTAAAAGAACATTTAATCTTTGCAACCGATCCAATAAATCCTGGCTAACAACTAAATTCTCACCAGGATTTTGGAAAATTCTATATGCAGAAAATCTAAATTCCCTTTCTTGACAGGAGAGAAAAACATTAGGCTGTAGAAAAACTGTGCCACCAGCATTTATTATAAACATTTCCGGAATTAGCCAAATAACTTTTTGAATCAGTTTGAAAAAAAATACTTTCAGCCTTACTTTTTACAATGCAGCTAACACTACACAGTAACAATACTAACCTACTGTGCAAGACAAACCAGCCAAATCTTCACATTGCAAAAAAGACCACATTTGGAACAAACTTCTGATCCAATTGGCAGTCTCAAGAAAAAAAAAAATCCTAACATCCCGAAGATAGAAAGTGTAACTAGAAGATGCTTGTTCTAGAAACAGGAATTAAATAACATTTTGACAAGGAATTGCAAGGATGACAAAGATACTACTGTATTTACACAATTTGATTTTTAACACGATGTGCTCTTTCTCATATGCAGTATGAAACACAAAAGCAAATATATTTCTTTTTGAAAAATGATTTCATTCATCTGTATACTTGCATTGCATACAACCTTCATCCTCAGAATTGAATGAATGGATAATTTCATGTTATAAATGAAAATGTAATTTTTATCATGAACTCAAATATAAATATACTAATTTATTTAAACAAAATGACATAAATTAGCATATATAAAATTACCAAAAAATAAAAGATATTAAATTAATTAAAAATCCTCAACTTTCATCACCCTGTTTTTGCTTCCACTTGCTTTTAAGACAAAGTATTTACGGCATCTGTTTGTTCTCAAGCTTCAGAGGTTTTGGGCTTTTTTATTATTTGTTTTTTATCACAGGTCATTCATTTCTAAAAGGCAGTGCATCTCTCAACAGTTTTTATTTCTGACTTTTGAAGTTTCATACAGTAAAATTTAACCAACATTTTGGAAACCACCAGCATTATTTCAATTAATTCATCTCTACTGAGAAGTCAGTTACTCCTCCACAACATCCACAAAACTGAAATGGTACAGAATGAATGACAGGCTTTTTCAGCGAGGTTTAAAACCTCCACCGAACAACCTGTAAGTCATTGATCGCTCTGCCTCTGTTAGTTTTTTAAGGAGATCAACACAACATCAGGTAGTTAGACTGAGAAAATACCATGGAATATGAAATGTGGGAGGAAAGCAGGAACCAAGTATCTAACTGAAAAAAAAAAGCAAAGAAATATCCTAAGAAGGAACAGTCAATCCAACCACAATACAGGTTGCTAAGAAAGCATCTTGCAGAGCCATGAGCTGGAGAAAAAACAAGAGTGCCAACTGGCCAACTCCCTGTGTGAAGTAAATTGCATTATATTACATTTGCTGGCTTTACTATTACAAACCTAAGCTTGTCTGACAAAGACATTTACTCAAACAAGATTTGCTGGATAAGAAAATTCAAGGAAACATCTTCTCAATAATTTTAATGTCCTCTATATAAAGGAGACACCAATAATCACAAACAAGTAGCTCCATTCCCCACAGGCTTTACTAATCTGTGGTAATGGTCTTCTCTTACATGCACCTGGAGACTGCCCTTAATGAGATATTCGCCTTCCTTTGTGGAAGCAACAGAGCAAATGCTCTCCACACCATTATACAGCCTTGTCTGCTAAAAGTTGAATCTTACCAGTTGTTAGCAAATTATTTGTTTGACTTCAGTTTACTATTTCCAATGCCACCTGTTCTACTTCCTGGAGCTTACTACTAAGCCTAACTTTTTAATGAGAAAATGATTGGTTCATCCATGCCACAATTTTTCTGAAAATATTTTCAAAAAACTTAAGGTGGTAGCTAAACAACCTATTCATCTCACAGACCTTAAAATAAATTCCAGCATGAATATTCCTAGGAGTCTTTACAATAATGGCTACTTAACTGCCATTCTCAAGAGTTAGTACAACTGTGAAAATGTATTTAAGAGTTACTATACACTATGGTTCTGGCTTTACACGTTGTGAACCAGTTAACAGTTAACATTGCAGAGCTGTTCACTGCGCTATTATCAACAGGGTCATTCATAAATCTCACACTATCAATAAATTCCATAAACTCAAATGCATTGGGATAAAACCAAGTCAGATCAGCATGAGTTCTTACTGAGATCACCAATATTTAGTTCACAAAAAATACAGTCTTGTGAACATTTCTTTTTGTTTTATTGGGATTTGGTATATCATTTCACAGACAATCAGAAACATTTACTAAATTATTTATATTTACTCAAGTTATATGACTCATATAGTGAGATGATATAAAAAGGAAAGAGAAACAGCACATCAAAATTAGAAGCTAATGCACCGTTATAGAGGTAGAGAAAAAATTTTTTTTTAACATCAACAAGGTAAAATGTATGTTGTCAAAAAAACTAGCTGCCTCATTCAGAACTAATAAACATACTGCATTTGGAAGTCAGAAGCACCGCTAACAAGTACACCGAGTGACACCAAACGGTGGGAAGTGGATGAATAAAGCACGTTACGCATAAAACATTTTCTTATGCTTTCTGTAGTGAACTGACAGATAAAACCTAAAGATAATTTTTTTAAAAAAAACAAACGTTTTCCTCTAACTCACATAGATTTGTCAGCAAAGCCAGACAGAGTTCAAAAGAAAGATTCTAGTTGAATGGTAAAAGATACAATGCTGGAGGAGGCTGAAGAAACAGTACTTCTACTGGTTATGGTTTGGGTTTAATTTCATTTTATCCAGCAGGTCTAACCATAGCATTCATCTAAAAGAGCTGCAAGAGACAGCTAAATGTATTACCCACCAGAGCAAAAGATGAATGCAAAGTTGCTAAGTAATTATCTGAAAGGAGAAACTTTGCTGAGAATAAAGAAAATAAACAAATTATGTCAAGAAACATAAAGACTTCAAAAGAGGACAAAGAAGAAAGGCAGATGCAGTTTATAAACATGAACTGCTATGGGATATCTAGGAAATGGGATCTGCAGTCAGAATGTTTGTTGAAAAAAATGCTGGTGTGATAAGGAGCTGCCACTCATTGTTCCGAACAGTTTTGCCCATTCTCACAAAAAATAAAACAAAAAACAGACATGCAAAAATATTTGGTTCCACGACTGAAATTTACTTCTAAATCAGAATAACCTACAAGACCATACATTTTCAGCAGATGGCTTGATGGAGACTGCAGGCTGCACTAACAGTTAGAGATGAACTCATCAGATCATGCCTTGTAAGCTCATCAGACCATACAGGGAGGGCCAGAAGACAACATATCTCAACAATTTAACACACAGAGGTTCTGCAGCAGTCCTGTGCAAGCTTACAAGAACAGAGCATATCACGGCCTTACTCATTTGTTCTCTCACAAGTTAAGAACCATTACACTAAAAGGATCAGGAGTGATTGACACAGATCACCAACACAAGCTTTATTTCAGTCACTGGTTCCCTCTATGCAAACATGCTCCAATATTTATTTAGAACATCATCCTGGCTAGTCAGTAACAGCAACAAGGAAGGAGGGATGATGTGTGGAAGGAAGGATATGGCTTTACCTATTTAAAATTGAAATCAATGTCAAAATTAAGTTAAACTCACTTCATACAAGGCATTACAAACTATTGTTTTCCTTTTTGTCTATATGTTACATTCAGAAGACAGGTCACAACCTCACATTCTCACATGACACTAAGTCTTCATATGTCCTTCTTCAGAGACTGTTTTTTATTTCTGTCATCAATCTCCTTCGAATCTCTACTAAAATCAATTTGTAATTCTGCTAGTCAAAGATCACTATTATTTCAAAATGGAGAAATGATGAAAGATATGTATTCTAAAACTAAGTGACAATAAAAGATAGTTACTTCTATGCTGCCAATGTGTATAATGATATAAAATCACAGGAAATTGAGAAGAAAATAAATCCATAGGCTTTTCCTTTGTGCCTTGTAGGAAATAGGTAAAACGTTAATATAGCCTGAAGAAGCTTAAAACATTTCCATGACACAATTTCAGGGACAGGAATGACCTCAGACAACGTTTTTTAAGTATTTTCTGGAGCTGTTACAATCTTCCTACCTAGGTACAAACTTGCAAAACTACTTGTGTGCTTACAGGAGATGTGTAGGGTTTGGATAATGAAATGCTCGGTGGACCAGCAAACCTCACAATCCTAACAAGCAAAATCTTACAGTGTTTTTCTCCCTCCCTGGTCCTACAGAATTCTTCCACACTTCAGTCCTTTTACTTTTTGTGTTTAACATTAAACAATTTAAAGACAATACTTACATTAGATACCACTGTGATAAATGCATGTGCTATAAGAAACGGCAGTGTCTCAGGGGTTCCATATTCAAAACAATCCTTCATGAGGGAAAGGCCATTTTTTCCACAAAACAGACAAACATAACGAAGCAAGTGCAATGGTACTTCTACATCCTAGAAATATATTAAAAAATAAAAAAAAGAATAATTTGAACAATCAATACTAGATCAATTCAAACATGGAAATTCAAAAGCTACAGTAGTATAACCCAAACCTATAGAAAGGAATGAACATTGCTATTTTAAGTTTCTAGGAAATGTGCACCTATTTAAAAATGGACAACTTACATTCATATCACAGAACGCCCCTAATATATTGCTTTCTTGAGCAGAAATATCCTGTTTAAAAAGAAAAAAATTAAAATTAACTAAAGCAATAAAACTACATTTATACAACAAAAAACAACCGACCATTAACAGGTAGTACAGTCAACTAACAGGAAAAAAAAACCAAACCCTAATTTAGATGAGGACAGAAACTCAAGCTTTGCTCCGCTTTGACACTGCAAAACATACTTCTCCAGTTCACCATTTTACCTTTGTTAAAATGTATTTATGAATACGCAAATATACACCTAGAATAACGTCTCAGCGGTGGCTCTCAATGGTTGGACTAACAGATTATTCTTCAATCCCAATGCCCTTCAAATCACCAATTTTTTCAACAGGAATACTGCAAAGGTGATAGTCTGGCACACTGGCTGCACACCAGCCTGAGAGTTACAGAACAGAACCAATTTAGGTACTTTTGAATGCGATTTTTGCATAAAGACAAGACATATATCCAAACATCTGAATTTAGATGAAATGTAGGAAGTTCTACAATCCCACATTTAATGACTTAAGGGGATAAATTGTCAAATTATTCATTCCCATCAGAGTATTAAAATTCTTTAACTTCAACTACTATATTCTTTTATATGTAACAAAACACATCATATAAAATAAGTGTCTTACACTCTTTACAGGATTAAGCTAACTAAAGAGGGGGAAGGAATTGTATCACCCTATCAATCTGTTAGCTATTTGCCACAACAAGAAATCTGTTTTCTAGAAGTACTAAACTGAAAAGGATTTGAAAAAAGAGCTTTTCTTTTTAATGTTCACAACATCCACTTGTTGGGAAATATAAAGCAGGAATTTTCTTTATTAGGGTTGTAACACATACTGTGTGTAACTTGCATATGGCTGTGGGCAAAAGGGCAGCGAAGACATAAGATGTGACTGTAAAACCACAACATTGCCATGGATACTTGCAGGTAGTTACAGCACATATTCTTCTCCTTCCCATCTCTCCATGCCAAACACTCAGTTCTCATATTCACAAATCAAATGTAAGTTTAACATAAAGTTAAGTTTTTAAATGAAGTTCCCTCAATATATTTCAAATAGCTGTGTAGGAGTAAGCTTCTTAAAACTGTACCAGAAGATGCTGGAGGCAAGCAATTTTGGACGGATTAAGTGTGATACAAACATTCTGAATTCTTCAATATGCTCATATTATAGCTAAGCATTTATTTTCTTTTTTTTTCTACTGAACTCTAAGTCATGCCTGAACTCGTGATACTCTAACAGTTATTTTTAAAACAGCTTTGAAGTCAGTAGGTGGTATGTTTTCGAGTAGCAAGAAAAGGTGTTCAGCGCTCTGCTCATGAAAACTGCAGAAATAGCATGAGAAATTTCATTAGTTTTCTTGAATAAAATAGAGACTTGTTGAGTGAACTATAGTTCTTCAAATACAGAAATCAAAAACTCATGGAGGTGCACGAGTCCTGCAAAGCTTACTAAAAGTGTTGCAGTTGAGAGACTCAGTCTGGAAACATGACTTCTCTTCCTGCAGATGTGAAACAGAACTGAGACCAAGAATTCCTTGAGATCAAGTTTATAAGGAAGTACGAGAATTCTTCATGGGAATCTAATACGGCATTAAAAAATACCATCACTTCAGGAGACCTTACAGCAACCTTCTAGTATCTAAAGGGGCCTACAAGAAAGCTGGAGAGGGACTTTTTAAAAGGGTACGGAGTGATAGGACAAGGGGCAATGGCTGGAAGAGGGAAGATTTAGATGAGATATGAGGAAGAAATTGCCCAGAGCAGCTGTGGATGCCTCATCCCTGGAAGTGTTCAAGGCCAGGTTGGATGGGGCTTTGAGCAACCTGGTCTGGTGGAAGGTGTCCCTGCCCATGGCAGGGGGGTTGGAGCCAGATGGTCTTTAAGGTCCCTTCCAAGCCAAACCAGTCTGATTCTATGATAAAATGTACTAGTTGAGGTCTGACATGGACACAATCTTGGTGTATAGCACTTAATTACGGATTCTTCCAAGAACATATTTACTTGAAAAGGAGAAGCAGTGATAGCAAGATTCCAAACAATAAGGGGTGACAGCTACAGACACCTAAACAACTGATTTTTTTCCCCCTTTCATTTCATCCTCTGTCAAGAACTGCTAGATGGCTGGGTAACTCCCTTCAGACTCATTGTTCATTTTGAGATGGTGCAAAGTTCAGGAATGCACTTTACATCGTTGTTTCTTTCTCTGCAGGATTTTAAGAGTCTCCACTTCCTAGATCCCACCACCCCCCCCAAAGTGCCTGTTCAAGGTATTACACTTGCTGCGCAGAGTAAGTACGAAAAGAAGAATAGGGCATACAGTCTTAAACTACCCTGTATGCAAGATCTCTTAAAAGACATCCTATATATCAAAAAAAAAAAAGAAATTAACTGATTCCAAAGTATGAACATCTCTCAAAAAAATAACCAATCATATTTATAAAAATATTTTGAGTTAATTTTGTTTAGGATGAAAAATAGACACAAAGGACTCTCTCTCTGGGCACCAAAAATATTGGTAGATTTCAACAGAAGCAAATGGTGTGTTTCCAAACATTATCTTCACATATTTTTTTCCATATTTATGTCCTGAAGTGGGTTGACATCTAACTGACTGCAACTAATTGCACTGTTTTAGAAATCCAAACATAGTAGAAAGATACGTTTCATTAGGCTTTCCATCAGTTTAAGAGAAGTTGAGACAAATATTCTGTCTATACAGACTCATATTCATTCTACACAGATCAAGACTATATACTTGTCAATATGCTTAATTTACTTCCACATGATGCAGTTTCACTGTCCTCATATACAGCGTATTTCTGTAGGGCCATTTGTTCAAGGTAGCTTCTGCTGTCAGGAATACACAGACGTTCTGGCTACCAATCAGGCTTCCATGGTCTTCACTCTCTCACTTTAGAAATGTTGTAAGGAACAAAAATAATTCTTAGCCCGTATCATTTAAGGAGAGAATCTACAGGATCATATACAGGCAGACACCCTTTTGACTACCAACAAATGTTGCTTTGCTGTTCATTTTCATCCAACTTCATGAACTCCTAAACTAGGGGAAACCTCCTACTTTCACATGAATGTTTTTCCTCTCCAGTAGACAGTCAAGTGTAAAATGGTTTTGGCAAGCACCCAGTAAGAGGATTAGAATTCAAGACTTGACTGCTGTCATTAAGAACAAAGAGTTTGGAGGTGTATACAGAGCAAAGGCTAACAGTAATATTGACTGCTAATCGTTACCAGAAGGCAATAATACCATCTGAAAACCTTACATTGGAAATTTTTAAATGACAGCCTAATTGGTTATTTCTAGGCAAAGTGAAACCTTACTGGACATGATGACTCAATGAAATTGTGTAAATTCATCTCAAGAAATTGGAACAAGGAATTTCTGAAGTCAGTGAGAGTAGAGATTCGAGTCCGTTTTGCATCACAGAACTTCCCTTTTTCCAGGGCAAAAGAAATGCTTAGAGGGAGATGGAGAGCTATACCAGCTTCTCCCAACAAATTCTTGGCAGATTTGGTCTGTTCAGGAATCTGTTTAGCTTACAAGTATAGATGATACACTTAAAGCAGGGATTTTTATTTTATGATCGCTTGAGGACTGAGTTCAAGCCTGATGTAAAACAAGAAGTGTTCTCATTACTGGGACTAATAACTTGTCTGAATTCAACTAAGATGCGCTCTAGACTGAAATCCGAAATTAAACTCTAAACCTCAGTAAATGAATTACTCATGGTAGCAGAAGGCTTTAACATTAAAATAGCTAACATTACTACTTTAGAATAACGTAACTCTAGTGCTTTCTAAAGCCTGAAAATCTCAGTTTATGAGAAAAACCATTGATGCTGGGACCTTTTAAATGCAAACAAAAAAATCACCGCCCAAAAAGGAAAAAGGCACACAACAAACATGGCAGGTTAGCGTACCTCCGTAATCCATATGTGGAAATACAAGAAGTTTAGTAGAAAAGTAAAAAACTTTTCCCTCACTTGTCTGTACCTCAGGAAAGTGTTTTTCATTCTCAGCTTCCCTTTAAGCTATGTTTTTAGGATAGCTAGTGAATGTATTCAATAACTCAAATTATATATACCAGTGTGAGATATATATGATATATACTAGCAGGTCTAGAGTGATAAGCAGTCACAGTACAGCAATCTACACTGTATCTGTGTCCAAATTACTTTATGGCTGCACATCAAGTGAAAAAGAAATCCCACCAGGCACTTTGAGATTTTCTTTTTATCATTTGGAAGTGAAATTGAAAGAGAAGAAGAAAATACTTGAAATTGTCATTTAAAAGAAGCAAATGTGCTTATACATAAGAAAAGCTGTTCCAGAGTTGTTCATTGCATATTCCTATGAAGCTACTTTCAGTAGGCGTCCCACAGGAGTACAAAAGATAAATCACTTAAGTAGTCATTGATTTATTTTTTTTAACTGACAAGACAGATCTACCCTCTACAGATCCTACTTGCAGAGGCTGAGCTACAGATTTATTTATGTATGGTGAAAGTTTAAAAGGCAGGCCAAAATGAATGATGGTAAACCTGAAATCCACAAATCCTAACTTTGCCTCATTTTTCTATACAAATATATTTGTGAAACAACCTCTGTTAACTTATGGACATATGTTTTGGAATATAACAAGAAACCAAAATCCAGCCCGCCCACAAAACCTGCTATGCTGTGGGTTTTAACTAGATTTATTGTCAGATGTCAGGATTCATTCAACAAGAATTGATTATATCTTCTGATCACCCTAGCATACATAACCAAAAATTATATATGACTTGGTATCTTCTCATTTTGGACTTAATTTAAAAAGTAAACTTAACCACTCAGACCTCCAACAGAACTCTCAAAATTCTCTAAATAAAAGACGACTGGGTTAACTGTAATCTAATTCTCCACTTTGGACTTTCTCAAAAGTTTGTTGGATAGAAGCTTTTTTTATGCAGCTAA